AATTGGACTTCCACCAACCGTACAATCTTATTTGTGGCGTAAGGATTTAGTCATTCCGTCTCCTATAAAATATCTATGGGAACTGTTTCGTCTTACGTATGAATATAATTATAATATAAATATTTCAAGATGGCGGAAGGAATATTTCTTTCTGAGGGCGCCACGAGTCACGACCGCTCGCTAGGACGCTTTAACCTGTTTACTGAAAATCAGGTTAAACAGTGATAGTTGCCGACGGTCACCGCTAGAGGTCGCATATATTACCTCTAAACACTCTCATTTCGTACGACCATTAACTACATAATTAGGCTGTTAATTATGAACAATATGCTAATTATTAGCATACAAGTGCGCCTGCTGAGCGGGGGCTCCTCAGTGGTAGCACGGAGTCTGGAAAAGTGCCCGGTATATGGCAATAGACTCACCCCCTATTACATGGGACTTAAAATAAGTGTAAACTTAAATAAGCGGTTGTGACATTATACAGTGGCATTAAGTGCCGTAATGTGCACCTCTGCCTACTCCTATGGGGATAAAACGCGTGATGTTATGTTATATATTGTCTTCTGTTGCATAATGATAAGTATTTGTGCTTATAGAAATAATATGTGTTACTATAAGAATTGTATTTAGAGCTCGTCTCGTCTGCGATACAGAATTGTCCTAGTGCAGGCATCTAACATTGTCACATCAATATTGAACGTATGTACATAAGACACATTTTTAAAATTTGCGTTTTTTAATTATGAATAAAGTTTTATTTACTTGTTATTTATACAAAAATAAAAATATTTCGATTGATGTAAATGTTACAAAACAAAACCTCACTTACATTGTATACCTTCACATTAGCAAGGAGTGGTGTGCTTCACACAATCTCTTAATGTTCTGTACGTAATGGTTCCAGTGAGTCTCTCAACCTCATCTCATTCTGCAGCTCGTGATGTACGGACGGAGCTATGAAGGGCCGCGGTCAGGAAGGTTGAAACCCCGAGACCTCACAAGTTCGGGACCACAAAGAGACACAAGGTTCGAGGACCAATGTAGATTTTGAGAAACAGACCCACTCGCAAGTCCCAGCAACACCCTCTGGTGGCGCGCTGATGTCGCGAGCTGGGTGCTTGCTCAACTGTGGCCGCCGCTTTATTATATTATATCGCAACGTTATCTATCATCTGTTATTAATTAGCCGTAAACTGAGAAAACTAAGCCAAGGCGCGGCGCGCGGCGGGGGGAAGGGGGGAGGGGGGGTAGGGAAGGGGCATGCGATATTGGTGAAACTGTGACAATCCATGGCGATGTTAGCAAAGACATCAATATTGGGCGTCAGCAGCGCCAGCGCCCGTTACAAGACGAGCACTGCAGGGCCAGGTAATAGTGAGGCGACCTCACGGTGGTAAGGTCGGGGCTGGGGTGGCTCGGCTACAATGTTAATTGTCGTGACATATGTCGCGGCGCGGCCTCGGCGACCTGCGACCCGCGCCGCGCCGCGCCGCCATTACCGCCGCGCGCCGCGCGTTGCGTGCGCACGCGACCCGCGACCTGTGACCTGCCGCCTGCCGCCTGCCGCCTGCCTACTCCGCGCCGCTCGTCGTCTTCATTACTTGCCACATTCACATCGCTAATTATTGCGCAGTCTCACTAAATGATTTACGATGCCTTATCTTGCACAGGGTCGAATATGTACAAAGTTCTAAGGGGTCATAAAATTACAATATTTAGTTAGGCAAGTGAACGGTTACGCCGCGCGACCCTCAGCAGCTCGGTGCCAGGAATCCAGACGAACTTGTCATATAATTATGTGCTCATCGAGTTCTTAGCTCAATGTATTTACTCAGGTTATTTGACCAGTCAGTCAGTCAGTCATGTAGGTACATCATGCTAGCGGCTAGGTTAACAGATAAACAGCCCTCTCTGACCTCTCGCTTTTTATTTTACTTGTGTCTGGACATTTAAAGCGACCGTGACCTCTGAATTTGTTTCAATGTTTTTCTCATAATAAGTCAGGAAAAACCGAACTCAACTACTTTTATTTTACGCGTCGATATTAAGAAAAGTACTTTGTAAGCTATTTACGAAATTAATACAGTTAAACACCATTTATATACTACTAGCTTTTACCCGCGGCTTCGCTCGCGTCACAAAAGAATAAAAAGTAGCCTATGTGACATATACCAATACACACAGCGCCATCTAAACCAATACTTTTGTTTTTCCTCGGGAATATCAATTTTTCCGGGTTAAAAAGTACACTATTATTTAATCCGGACTTCTAACTTTACGTCTGCAAAAATTCAAAGCAATCGGTTGAGTAGTTACGGCGTGAAGGTGGAACAAACAAACAAACTCACTTTCAGATTTATAATATTAGTAAGGATACAAACAAAAGCCAGCTGTAGCCGCGCGCCGTCCGAGGGCTCGCTCTAATGTTTCCACGCACACGCTGCACACAATGAACTATCGTGGACACCGCCTGCTTCTGCGCATGCGTATAATGGTGACGCTAAGTGACCACATTTTCGTGGAAGGAACCTCTATGTGTGCTGGTCGGCGAAGGGGCTTACACTCGACTTTCTCTACATGTCTCTCTAACCTCAGTGGCTGTCGTGCCATGGAATATTTAGGCTCCGAGCAAGGTCCCGTGCGACATTTATCTGAACTCGTATTTTAACACAGTCCGCGCTACGCGGTAGGACACTTTACTAGAGGCTGTACTTTAGTCGCTTGCAAGGAGCGGGGAAAACCATGCAACGCCTCTGTGCTGCGGAAAACTTACAGCAGAGTGAGAGGCGTGCCAGCGGGGGAGGGGGTGCGGTGCGGGGAGGGGGGTGCTGGGCTGGCGCGGCGCCGGCGCCGGCCGCTGCGGCACTCGGTCGCGCGCGCCCGCTCCGATCACTCGCGTCCCCGGACTCCCGCGCCAGCCAGCAGTGCACCTCCCGTAAGTGTCCGCCGCCGCCGCCCGCAGCCGCTCGGTAACGTACCCGCACTCACACACACACACACACCACATAGCCGCTTACATAAGCGCAGAGATTCCGCTTTGTTCCTTTATGACCCAGCGAGTGCACGACTCTACTCCTTGTCAGACGTCCCCGCAGCTCGGTGGTGAATTCGTCGCAGAACTGAATGTAGTGCAACATTGAAGTCCGTTGCCACACCGGGGCCGCGCCGGCGCAACCTCGCCGCCCGACATTGGGCGAGTTTCGACACAACTTCGATCTATCGCACTATCGAAACCGATTTCGCTAACATTGAGCCGCAGGCTCGCGCTCGCGCTGTGTCGGCGCAGGCGCGGGAGCGGGCTGGCCGATGTAAACAAACAGACGGCGTGACGTCACACGCGTGCGCGTCTGTCGCGCGGCGCTGCCGGCTTCCTCGTACAAGTGGGTCACTCGAGTCACTCGGCTCGTTATGTAAGCGACGGTTTGGTGTCCAAATGATTTCATGTCATCTTATCTAACATTATGCTTCATCAACTAAACATATACAACTTGGAAAGAAAGTAGTTCGCCAGTCGCGGTCAAGGTCGCGACTTAACCGGATGACCCCACTTCACCCCCTCCCCTCCGCTCTGGGTCACACTACATCACCCCTCACCTCCATCCGATCTGCAAATGTACAAGTTGTAGGAAGCACTTTCCGATAGTCAATACTATTATATACTATTTTGTATTTGTACACTAATAAGACATTCGCAAGTTGTGCAGTAGTTGGTCGCTAGGAGCAGCACGCATGCGCTGCTACAACTTGTGTCCTAGTACCACAGTACTAGTCTACTCGCGCGAGACCGCGACGTGTATCATGTAACCAGTCCGCAGCAGGACTGGTCTACTCCATAACATTTTCCGTAGACATGAAATAATAGCTTAATTTATTTAATTTCATGGACATTGGAAATGCCTTGCATTTGAGTCATTGAATCAAAACTCATTTACACTATATCGAGTCTGTTTACTTGTATTCAATTTTTGGTTCTTTCAATAAAATTATATAATCTCAATCGTCAATATTAGCAGAAAGTTTATATATTATTTATTGATGACAAAACAGGCGATGAAGGAATGAATTATGTGCACTGGTGCAGTACAAGCTATGTCCGCATCTCGGGCGCCCCCGCGGCCGCTCGTCCTGCGCGAAGCACTGGAACTATCTACTGAGACACGAGCTCGGCAGCCGCGCACCAGTTAACCTGGGGTCAACATTAATGTTCTCATTTCGAATCAGTTGTCATTGCCACTAATTATGTATCGCACAATAAATGAAGTGGAAACGAGAACAAGGATATCGAGCGCCGAACCGCCGCCGCCGCCGCGCTCTGTCGTCACCTGCTTGACATTTGCCAGTCGTGAAGGTCACGGGGGTCGCAGAGGTCGCAGAGGTCGCGGCCACTGCAACGCCTGCACACAGAGCTCGCATAGTATGCGCCGCGCGCCAGTACAGACACGGTGCAACCAGTGCAAGACATCAGTGGGAAGTGCCCGCGAGTGAGCGCACCCTTGAACTTGCTCATCTCAAGCTATTGTCGCGCGCGCGGTGCGAATGTAAGCGCGCTACACGTCACGTGGCGCGTGCGCGCTTCCACTTGCGCCAAACAATACGATTCCATGATAACAAGAAGATACTGCAGTCATGTCGGCGTCTAACAGCTGAAACAAATAGATCGCACTTTGGATGAATTGGAGTAAAGATCACCGACGTGGACGACAAGTTGCGCAACAAGTCGTGGGAGCCTACGACTGGCAGGGGTCGCATGTCGCTCTTGTAGCTCGCGGCATCGCGTGCGATATCATCGGTTGCAAAACGGAACACAGGTCGAAGTGATAGTAGGTAGAATGGAGAGGTCGCGGGGCCACATGATCGATGAGACGGCGTTGCACCATCCCGGCAATAGGTCCACGCCGGCTGTTACATAAACTGACCTGATATGTAATCAATACTGTGCTGTCACTGGAAGTGAAGGCGGCCGGAGCACCTCGTTGCACAACTCACTGCCGCCCGCGTCACGGGCGCAGCGTCTGCAGCAGGAGCAGCAGCTGCAGTAACTGCTCCAGGTGCAGGAGGGTGGCTGTGGTCACGCGCACGTGTCGCTGTACTGCGACTCTATGACGTGTACTGTGTTTACTTTCACGCTCTGCTAACTGCTTAGTATTCTAATGATGTAAAGTAAACAGCCAGGTAAGTGCTAACTACCTGAGCACATAGCGCGACACACACACATACATACGTTGACATATAATTGAGATACGCTTCACTCTTCACTGAGAACTTAATGAACTCATCTGATGTGTCTTGTCGCCCACAGTTGGGCAGTAAAAGTTTGTTGACAAATTGTATAACATTTACATTTTCTATTCTATCCCTTCGACCCGACGAGCGTTTAAGCTGTTTAAAACAATTTTGCGAAAGGTGTCGGGCCGAGCGTTTCGAGCTCTATAAATCAGCCAAGTAGTGATGCGTAGTACATGAGGCACAGTGACGTCCGTAGTTCCGCTCCTTGGGTCAGTCACGCTGACTGTCACTTGAGCCGCGCCCCCGGGCCCCACAGTTCAACACATTCGCCAATTTTTTCATGTTTCAAAACAAAAACAGCAAGATATTCCGGCGTACGTCACGTGCTGACATTGAAACCTATGACGATGTCATTCCCCAGTCCGCGCCCTGCTTAGGCCATACAACTTCGTCTCAACAAGTCTGGACTTCAAACCGGATCTACGTAGTACAAGTTACGAAATGAAATGCAATCTCCAAGCATGACCGGCGTGAGCAGCAGCAGTAGTAGTGGCAGTAACTCGACCGACCGACCGCTCGCGCTCGTTATATCACCGACCGGTCGCCGCCGGCGCCGCTCCACCACTTGTTTTGTTCCCTGTTATCCAATTCGCTAGAGACTAATACAATCCGCTTTAAAATCTTTCACTTAACTCAGAACATAATTGCGGAAACTCAGAACGTCGCTTGTAGCCTTCAGTCAATATAGTGTGGACAGATAACATGTTACATAATGTCAATATATACGCTTCAAAACAATCAAAGTCGTTACACTCGCAGTTGTAATCAGAGCACGTAACATACATACGCGTGTTCGCGCGTGTGTGTGTGTGTGTGCGTGTGCGTGCCACAGCCTACCAGCGCAGCGCGAGCCAGCAGTGCGCCAATGTGTCCCCTGACTTACTCATCTTCAGGGAACTGAACTCGCTTCAGTGACACAAACGTAGTACTTACAAAGTAATATCGCGACTATATGACCATTCAATGACATTGTGTCTTCTTCATTGGATCATTGGCTGTATCTCTAGCTGCGCCCGCGTCAGTCGCGCCGCTAATGCATTACTTGAGTATGAATAGAAATAAATATGATTCAGTAATAGTCATTCAGTTAAGCAACTGTATATGTGCATGCTGTGGCTTGCGCGTGCGCCACTTTCGCCGGCGGAAGGAGGTCGCGCGCGCGCCGAAAGGCGAAAGGAAACGCACACAGACGCGACACTGTGCCAAACACAGACACAACTGCAAACGTCAAGTTACGTGCGCGTGCGCTGCGGCAGGCACACACACACACTCACACAGGCTTGGCATACAGGCGCAAGCCCTGCATGTATATGTGTGCGTCCATTACATTAACACTTGGACCTTTCGCGAAAGCTTACGTAAGCACTAAGCACTAGCTAAGTCTGCGCAATAGATCGGTCAGCAAAATATTAAAACAAAAATATTTAATTAAAGCGAGCAACAGTCCGGCCGTGACCCGCGTGCATTACGTGCAAGGCCGCCTTCGTTACAACGCGCAAACTGTTCAGCTTTCTCAGTCCTTGTGCAATTTCTCGGCATATTTAATGACATTATACAGGAAATGTAAGCTGCGTCCTCGTCTCCTATTTGTAATACATCGTGGAATCTGTTTCGTTTCGTCCCGCGGCAAAAACAACTTGCCGCGAGGAGTACATTTGTGGCGACGCATGCCACATGTCAACGGATGACGTCACAAGAATCCTACATCGCACATGCAAAGTTTACAAACGAATAAACACAGATAGAAAATCCCAACGAACAACTGTTGGGCAGAAAGCCCGCCAGGCACGATCACCTCGCCTGGTCGGAGGATCCTCCTTTTCCGATCTTAGGGAACTATACTCTCTGTTCCCTAAAGTGGTGACCCCGACGTGATTGGAAAACAACCTTCACTTCACGGAGCAGATCAGCACCGTCATCCGTATCGCCATCCCTCTCATTCATCATTTCTCCGCTGAGCGGTAATCAAGTCGCAGCCAACCAGCATCCTCGGCCTCATCAGGGACCACCATCACCTGCAACGAAGTTGTGCAGCCTGGTTCTTCCCTACGGCCTCACCAGCGTCTAGGCACAGCACTTCTGCACACGGTTCTGAAGGACATCTCCTCCCGTCAACGCAGACGCCGGCCACTACGCACCTACCCTCGCAGCATCTCTTCCCCGACTCACCGTGGGACACTGCGAACGCATCTCTCCGACTCACTGGAGTTTCACCCTGCACCGCTGACCCGACTCACTGGGCACTCAGCGGCACGGTTCCGACCCACTGGAACTAGGGACGTTCTACACTGGCTCTGGCACCGCTCATCTCAAGCATCGACAGCCGTCTCAGCGGGATCGACCTCCGGTCTTGGGGGGGAGTGATGTGGCGACGCATGCCACATGTCAACGGATGACGTCACAAGAATCCTACATCGCACATGCAAAGTTTACAAACGAATAAACACAGATAGAAAATCCCAACGAACAACTGTTGGGCAGAAAGCCCGCCAGGCACGATCACCTCGCCTGGTCGGAGGATCCTCCTTTTCCGATCTTAGGGAACTATACTCTCTGTTCCCTAAACATTCGATGTATAAACAAAAAATAAAGATATGTTTGTTTTTAGTTTTAACAAATCATTGAAATACGCTCATACGACGTAAATTTGTTGCCAATACCTACGAAACATACCTCTTCGAGAATTAATTACATGGCGTGATGTTTAGATAATGTATTATGAGATGGTATGCGCTGTTGAAGTTTGCTTTTTGCAATGACTCACCATTTATTTTTTGTTTTTAACATTGTATTTCATTGTAAAGCACTTGTATTACCGAGACAGAAACATTTTACTTCGGGACGAAACCGAAATATATTTCACGGCGTGTATCCTTATGATTGCCTGATGGCACCGCTGGAGTTTTGCTCTCCCTGCGACTGTTGCGGGTGTAGTCGACTACTTCTCATCATCTTCCTGTACTTATCCCAAGTGACTTGGAGTCGGCGCAGTACTATTGTTCCTCCGCTATGTCCTAACAAACTTCATTTAGTCACAAACCCAGTTTTCTTCCATATCAGTCCTTTCATAACCTAATTACCATTTCTTTGGGTATCTACATTTGTTCCATGAGTCCATGACATATCTGTCTATGACAGCCACAAACACGGTTGCCGGCAGTTGACTACTTCTATTATACTTCTATTTCATATTATCAGATGTAGTTCGATGTAGTTATGTATGTTTAATCCAAAGCTCCACTGTTGTCACTTCGCTCGAAACAATTAACCATTCTCATAGACTTCCAGTACAGAACACGCATACAACGGTTCGTAGCAAGTGCTACAAATAACAGTCCGCGCGCGTTGATGTCTTTTATTCGGAGAGTTGAGCTATAACAAATATACTAAACCAATATGTATGTACCTGCAAGACTGTCTGGCGGGGTGCTGTGTGCTTGTCGTGGACTAATCGTGTTTTTATGAAAGTGGAATGTATCGAGCGTCGATCGCGGTGTGAGAACGAGCGACTCGTTACAACGAGCTGCGCAACCCGATCACTTCTTGTAATACTCGACTCGGTGCACAATGCGCCTGCGCATGGTTGCTGCGCTCACGTTTTTCATCGTGCCACTGTAGTGTGGGAATTTCAAGTAGTGCCTGCTAGGTGTGTGGGAAGTCTCTCGCGGCACCACCGGCGACTCCGCCGATATCATAAAGTATATGAGATATAAAATAAACATTAAGTACGCGTTAAAACAATCAAAGTTTTCATGAAATTGTTCACAAGTTTTACTAATTAGGATAAAACTCAATTACCAATATTATTGTTATAGATTAGCTTAATGGTTGTATTTATAGCACACAATATTTCTATAGGAACGTCCGTTGGTTTATTCACATTCATGTACTCGCGGTGGGAATGTAATGGTCGGTAAAGTTATGTGGATGGACCGAGTTATTTATTTATTTATATTTAGACATTATTAAGTTTAAGTAGGTAGTAACTCAATCTGGTTGAGACGTGTTGCAAACTTGCAGGACAGTGGACAGGCTCTAAGTCGAGCGCGCACATAGACGTTGCACATTGCTGTCAGGCGTTGCGTGTTGCGGGCGTGACTCGCAGAGACACGTTGCGTGTTGCAGGTGTGACTCGCAGAGACACGTTGCATGTATCGTTGTGTTGCCAATGCGAACGAGTGCAGCTTTTACCATCGACCTCGGCGCGCCGCTCGCTGCTCACACTCACTAACCTTTTTGGAAATATTTTATGACAAACGTGCGTCATATTACTTTAACTGGACGATAGCATGCAACATTACGACGAGGTCGCGGCACTCGGCAATACTAGTGGCGGCATCCAGCGCCAGCGCTTGTGAAACATATCGGCGCATGCGCACAGCCGCTTGCCACACCGCGCCGCTCTTATTAATAAGCTAGATGATGTATACGTGACACCTACGTACGTATATGTATGTATATAGCGAGCGGACCAGAGTAACACCAGCCAGGCCCTTACCTACTGTAGGAATCCAGTCTCATCTATAATTGGAACCCAAAAAGTCAAGGCCTCGTATACACGCCAGACAAGACCAGAAGTAGCACCCGTTACAGTGATTCATGTTCCTCAAAATCATTTACAAAGAGGGCGACAGAAAAGTAACTGCAGACAACTACAAGCAATAATAAGGATCCACTAAAGTATTAATTGATTACTTGTGGTGCTAGACAATTAAACGTGATGACGCCATGCGCAGCTGCCTCCCAGGCAGTGGGCGTCGTCGAAGGGCGCTCGAGGACGTTCACATTCTCCAGGTTTTGTGTTTTTCCTTGTGCGTCAGCCGGCGACTGGCCAGTGAAAGGGTGTTGTGCAAACTCCAACCAGTGCCTCCCCCCGCACCCCCCCCCCCACTCCCCCTCCATCGACAACGCATATCGTATTGCTTATGTTGATATCGATAGACCTATTTTGATTTAAAAGGTAGTAAGTGGCTCGGCACACTTATGTTGAGCTCTGGGCGTCGGATGTGAGTCGCTTTGTGCAACTATTGCCAGTTAATTATGTATACTATAGCTGTAGCAAGTAATGGCAGTTGAGTAAAGGCCCAACATGGCCGGCGACTGGAAGTTGCCCTCACCGACGTCCGGCCGACAGTTGCGCCACTGACACCCGAACACTCCCGCGCTAAGGTTAAAACAACAGCCACGAAGTAAGGTCATATTAAAATATATTTCCCTGTCGACGCACATTCACCAACATAAGGAAGTGTTGCGAGCGCACGGCGTTAACATGTTTTCCACTAAAATGTTTAAATGGCACAACCGAGTTGTTTACATTAATGCGTGTAGTGCGCACTTGGTGTAACAAGTAGTGACTTCCGTGGAGTGAAGGCCTCGCCTGCAGCCTGCAGGAGCCTCTGACCCGCGCCGCGAGATGTCGCGTGTGTTGCGTCACGCGGCACGTAATGAGACGCGGTTACAGATAATATACTCCAACAACAACATTACGAAAAACACAGCGAGCTATCAGATTGTCGCAACACACTGACTAACACACGCAGATGCCGTAATAACTTAAACAGCTATGGAAATATTTCAGCGCAGCGCGACTTAACCTCGTTTGTTACCATTAAATGCACATAGCGTCGATATTAATTAGACCCGACCCTCGACCAGGCAGCTGCCGGAGCCACGTGGTCGACTCGTGCTGCGGCTACTGGTCCTGGCAGTGCACCTGCGGGAGTGCGAGGAGTGGGTGTATGAGAAGCATGCACGGAAGCTCGTCAACTGTTCCGTTGTCCTAACTAAACTAAGCGCAGTTGCGTGCACATGGTTGCGCGTCGGTCGCCCAATTCTTCGGAGGCGATAGAACAATCGTCACTTTCGCAAACATTACGTGCGGGACGCGGAACTAGACAGTGAGCGTGCACAATGCCGGCATTACACACAATCTCTGTAATTACAGCCATTACTCCGGACTCCCGAGCTACACCCGCGCCACTCCACTCAAATATTGTATTTCATACATAGAAATGAAGTGAACTTGTGCAGTACACCAGCGAGCTGACATAAATGTACTGTCGGCACACACCGCGCTAAGAGTCCCGCACACACGTATACAATAAACATACTAGTTAGTGATGTAACGAATGTTATACCTATCTTAGATATTCGCGATATTATATCTGTCGACGATATTCGCTAAAGCGAATGCGAATATTGCCTTACAAATTTGGAAAAAAATATCTAAAGCTTTATTTTGACAACTTACTTATAGCAAATATTTGTAATTGTTTGCATCAACTTGTAGTCTGGTCTAAATAAACACACAAATAGATGGCGCTTTTATTTTGTCCGTTTCTTTAATTGCAGTGTTAAGGTTCTCCGCCAATGCTATAAGTGTATTAAGAATGTACATATTATATGTTGGTATCGATTTGTATCATATTGTTAAGTATGGTATAATAATTCGGAATACAAGCGTTAGAGGCAACCACCACATCACTAATAATTGGGCGTCCGGTATCCTCTCTCAAAGTTGACAATCGAAATAAATACAAATTAGGGAATCGAGCCGAACTTTGATGGAGACCTAGATTTTACCAATAGGAATAAAGTGTCAAAGTCACCATGAACAAAGAACAAAGAACAAAGAGCCCACGTGTGCGTCGAAAGTTATTTGGATCGAAGAAAAAAATACAAGATTTTTTAATAATAATATAAAAAAATAGTACATACAATATTAATCGGATTAAAATGTCGGAAAATAAGTATAGAACAATAGAAACCGATATTAATATCATGCAATTATAAAAGTATTGACTGAAGGCTCTGTTCAATACGCAGTTTATTTCTGATAAATACTCAAAATGGATAAATACTGAGTGTACAATATTTACTCATCATGGCGTGCCCATCTCTAGCTGCAACAGTTCAGGGAGTAGACCTACGGGAGGAGCCGCGTTACAAAACTGTCTAATAAGTACAATTTGTTTTATTTAACTGAAAATGTGCGTGTGCGGTATTTTATAAAACACGGCTGTTAGAATAGCATTTCCAATTGGTACATTTATAACCTACGACTTTGCTTAATTTTATGATAAAACGTACCTAAGTATACCAATAGTGAGAAAACTCCAAATATCTTTATTTAGCTTTGACCCAATATTATAACTATTGACGCACGCATTCATGGCATGTTTGGACTCTAGTACACCACTACTGGCGCTGTGGTGCTGCAGGCGCGGGTATCACACACAATACTTTGTTTTATTTTTTTCGTTTGCGTAAGTTTGTAAGTGATGCGAGAGGTCTGCGCGCACGCATTACATCACGTGCGCTAGGAACTAATTACAATAGCAGCGAGCACGGCGTAGTGTCAGACACTCAGCAATATGTAGTGGACCCGCCGCCGGCCGCCGGCCAGCCACAGACTGCGCTACACGTCGGTGTCGCGCGACAGACCGCGATGTCGGCCCACGCAACGCTTGCGACACACTTACTGCGACGTCGCTCGGCATAATGCCGCGAAGATTATCGGTAATGGCGCACATTACGGGTAATGCGCGAGTTAGGCGCACGCGCACGGTACATAAGGCGCGCCGCCGCCGCCGGCCGCCACTCGCCGCGCCGCCACACGCCCGCCACTAGGTATGTCTCACATTACACATCTCGTAGCCGCCTCGTAGCCACGCGCCTACGCGCTACGCGCTACGAGACTACGCGTCTCCCGCGTACTGTGACACATGTGTCTACGTATCAACTTTACATATTATGTAAATCATATTGATTCGACAAAATGAAGATTGTGTAAAAGTGTCAGATTGTTGTCGGTTTTATTTGTCAATAGTACTCATTATTCATCGGGGATGTTAGGTAACAGATTATTTGCATAATAGAATTTTTGTCACTGATATAAAACATATCAACTGACACGTAACACACTCCAGAATGGAACTGTTACAAAGCTCCCTACATGTGTACGGGGACACGTGCTGAGCGCAGTGTCAGGCAGTCAGACACGAACATCCTCAATTACCTAACAATTGATATAATTGCCGGCCGCTCTCTGTTTGCAAACAATGAACACGTGCGCATGCGCAGCCCTCTCACGGATCAATTGGTTTAAATATACTTCGACCTTGATCTGATATTATATTACATGAAATGTATCGAAACCCTCGACTGTGAAACTACACATAAATTAATGATTACAAAGTGACCGTGAGGTCATGACTAAACATTCTAATAAACCGTTCAATGCAATCACTAATATTATAAACTAGCTTCTGTCCGCGACTCCACCCGCGTGCAATGCTTAGTGTGCACCTCTGGTCTGGGGAAGCCGAGCGTCCTGTCGCGACTGCCAACTGGACACACTGTGTAGTTGCACGTTGTGCCGGATATTGGCGGCGATTGCAGCAGCGCATGCGCAACCGTTGCTTCACCACTTACCACTCAGCGCTCAGCAGATCATTATTTAATTACTTACGCTCAGTATCCGCCGCGGGGCGAGCCGGCCGAGCTGTGTCATCAACCACCAACACGTGGAACGCTGCAGTCTGCCGGGACTTGAACGGCTTCACCTCAATTTAGTATTTGGTTAATGGCTGACTCCGCTGACTCTGAACACGATAAAATCATAACGTACTATGTAGAATGGCAACTAATTTACATAATTTAAAGTGTTGATATTGAGCAAGTTCGACCACGCTTACGAAATTTAATATCATTCATTTGAAATTCAAATGTTGCCCTACGTAGAGACGTGACCTAATAAATAAAGACAACGACACTTCACTCACCGAGCCGCACATACACAGGTGTGTACATGTGTGTATCATGCTACATGTACACACACATCTACGTCCAGGTATAAGGACGAGACACACCATCGGCTAGAGTCGACAACGATTGCCAGTAATTTAGGAGAATGGACAGACACGTGTAATTACAATGATACGTTCAAACTGCTCACTCACTTACGACATAATTGCATACTTAAGATTAGCTAAATTGCTCGTTACATGCAATGTACAGCATTACGGCAGATGGCCGCCATTAGCAGTGGCGACACTGGTTGGCCCCGGCAGTGTGTGCGCGCCCGCGGCTGCTCCTGGTCTCACCTTAACCTCGAGTATTGAATCGAGTCGCTCGACTTCTGCTGACCGTCGGCCGCTGACTGGCGCTGTGTTGCAATGTTCATTGTCGACGGTGTGATGTTCGCCGACGATAAGGCCGCGCCCTCGCCGCGTCCTCACTCAACATATAAAACATATCCTCTTTCTACCATTATGATAACCAAAAAGCAATAATTACAAAATAGGCCGTATGATAATATTATGTTAAATATTGGTGAGAATCTCGTGAGGCGACCGCCAGCACGCACACAGATGCACGCACTGTACTCGCTGCACACTCGCTAGATGTTGTAGTATTGTACCCACGACGGTGCACGTCCATCTAAGGAGAGATATATCGCCCTACTATACGACGGTACATACATTATATAGTACGCACATATTATTTAGTGGTAAGCAAAGGTCGTAGTGCACGTTGGTGCAATCCTCCGCGGTCTGCATACACGCCACACACATACACACACACACACACACACACGAGTGTGCGGGTGCCGACAAGTGCTTAAATCATTATTTTGTTCAAATCAATCGTCAGCTTTCACTCTACAATTAACGCAGAAGCTTTACAATACGTAAACCAAAATGTACTCGTCATGAGCTTTTTTGGATGTTATGATGCTGGTAACTGCATTATCCCCATTTGTAAGGCTTCAAGCACTTTGTAGAGGAGAGATGAGACCAACGAAAGCTACGTGCAATCTAACCAAACATAGCGTGTTGCGTTACAGGTCCCAACAGAAAGTTAGCAACGTTGAGAACGAGCAGGCAGTGTGGTGTCAGTCGCAGTGAGCACGAGATACAAAGACAGCACGCAGCATGAGGAGCTCCCTGTACATAGTGGCGCTGTGTGCGCTGGTGGCGGCCCGCGCCGCGCCCGCGCCCGACGCGGCACCCGAGCCCGCGCCGCAACCCGCGCCGCAGCCCGCCGCCGCCGCCGCGGCTGACGACAGACCAGAGATCATCGAGATCATCGCCCCCGCCGCCAGTGCGCAGGTAACATGGCCGCAGTCAAATACCTATCCATTTCTTTATTGGTCTTCATCCATCGTCCCTTCCATCCGCTCGTTACTATGTGAGTACGTAATTATGCTATGTACTGGAGGAACAAGTATACATAATAATATACCGATCTACTTTTCTGTAACCTGCATAGTTTTCTGTAACCTGCATAGTTTTCTGTAACCTGCATAGTTTTCACGCTTCCTTTAACATACGTATAACACACCGTGAAATCTAGATTTCGTTTTCGTCCCGCGGTAAAAGAACTTGCCATAAGGAGTACTGTCGATGTATAAAGCAAAACAAATAATAAAACAATTATATTTTTAGTGTAAAAAAAATTCAGGGAATTACGCACATGAAACACTAGAAATAATTTGTAGGCACTATTCGCATCGTACGTGCCACACGACGAGAAGTACCTCTTCGAGAATACATGGCGTGATGTTTTGATAACGCACTATGAGTTTGTATGCTCCTTCAAAGTTTGCTTTTTGCAATGGTTCACTAGTTATTTTTTGTTTTGAACATAATATATTATTTCTTTGTAAAACTATTGTATTAGCGAGACAGAACCATTTCACTTTGGGACGAAAACAAAATAAATTTCACGGTGTATATGTACATGTATGTATTTCTTATTGAATGTTACAAATCGAGTCAATAATGAATACTTGGGTAAGTATTGGGATTTATTTATGTTTATGCGAGAGTCGAGTTCAACAGTGGAATATAGTTACCTACTAACTTAATATTCAAAATTAATAAATACAAGCGTACATACACGTAGGCAGCACCTGGAGAGGCCGCAGGTACTTACGTGAACTATTGAATGTAACTTGTCTTCTTAAATAAGTAATAGTCGAGTGAGACCAGTGGCGGCACGGGTCAGCGCCTCGCGTGACCCTAATCATCAATAAATAATTACATAATTGCCTCGCTTTACAACGCGTGCCTCGCGTATCTATTAGGAGGCCGTGGCACAGCGCCCGAGGCACGCGACTAGTGCGCTCGCTACTTGCAGCCTCGACTTAGCCGTTACCTGTTACAGGAGACGCTGGCGACGCTGAACCTCGGCGCGCCCGGCTCCGAGCTCAGCGAGAGAAACAAGAGGACCATCGGTATCCTGCGCCAGCTGTTCCCCTCTCTAACGCAGGTATGTCTCGAGGACTGAGGGCGCCACCGTGTCCCGCCCACTAACTAGTACTTGCATCCCCTAGCAGTGACAGCAGCTTGTGTACCCGCCCGGATGGGAGTTCGCAGGCCAGGAGGAGCCGCGAGCCTGCCTTGTCTCGTAGTCGTGGCCCGCGGACTGTTGTGTTTGTAGTCGCTGCGGCGACGCTAAGGGCCATGTATGTTCTAGATAATCGAACAGAAAGTACAGCAACTAACGAGTATGGTGCTGCAAACATTCGGGCCCGTGGTACTGCGCCTGTTCCTCGGCAACCGGAACGGCGGCGGCAACACCGGCGGCGGCACCGTCGAACTAGACGATGACGACGACGACGACGATGACGATGACGACGAGCCCGCCAGCAGCACCAGCACCGCCAGCCCGAGCAGCACGAGCGCGCCCCTCACCAGCGCGCCCAGCACGCGCCGACGACGCGCGCTGTTCTTCCTGCCGGTATGAGGTCCGCATGCGCACTCTCAGCCTGCCCGCGGACGGCAGAGCGGGCGCGCGCAGACCGCGCGCCTCCATCGTCATCGTCATCGCATCGCCATCGTCACCTCACGCATGGACACGTCACGGCCACACTAACGATCACCCGCCCCGCTGCCACCGCCCTCTCTGATCACCTTGCTCTTACAGAATGCGCTCGCTGAGGAGAACCAGCTCCTGTCCGGCGCCGAGTCGCAGCAAGCCGAGGTGCGCGTCGCATTCGGCGACGGTCAGGCAGACCAGCAAGTCGCCGCCAGCGACGACCAGCAGACCGCTGCGCAGACCAACGCGGCCAGCATCGACGAGATCACACTCGACGACGCTGACAACAGCGAAGAAAACAGAAATAAGAGGTAAGCGCGACCATGCAAACATGCAGGGTGTCCCTCGCCCGGCAGTAGCAGAACGTGCTGACACGCCAACTGTTCCAGGTTCCTGAGCTTCGGTGGTAGCGCGAGCGCCGGTGGCTCCGGGGGCGGCTCGGGCAACTTCCTCTTCGACATCGTCAGGGTAAGTCACATGTCTTAAATAGTAATGTACCTCATACCTGTCTCACAACCATGATCTACAAACATTGCAACATATTTTGACAGTTTCTAATTTTTATTGAACGACTTTATTTGACGAACACATGAAACATGTGGTAAGCGTGTGTTAGTGATGGATTCGGCGGTGTGACCACCGGGCGACCACTAGGCGACCACTAGGCGACCACTGGGCGACCACTGAGCGCTAGTCGCGTAACAGTTGCGAGTGAGCAGATTTGTATTTGCAGCGCGCTCCCGAGGCGATGGCCCGAGCGGCCGGCACGGCGTTCCGTCTGTTCGCGGGCACGGACTCGCTAAACGTGGGCCTGACCGCCTCACACACGGCCACCCTGGACCCTAACGACCCTCAAGTATACACAAACATTGTGCAAGTAGTTAGCGCACAGTGACAGCTGAGACTCGTAGACTAGTGCTAGACTATTAGAACTCACCACGAGACACGACGCATACTTCTCGCCTCCTGCACTTTAGGAACCACTAACATACGCGTATCCACCGATACCTAACCGCCGTAACAACAAACTAGACTAACACGTAGCACTAGTATCGTAATTAGCAAGTACACATAAACATGTACTAAGTACATATTTGTTCGCTTGCAAGCGGTGCGGCGTCGCCAGGCGTCGCATCGTACTGAGTACCTACTACCTACTGGAGTAGCACCATCATATAAAAAATGTACAATAATAAATATATTTCATGTTTTTCTAATCACTCACTGATGCCGCAAATCATCATTCTGCAAACACTTAATAAATGGGTGCGTAGCTACCCGGTTGTGAGGCAATACATACATACATCGTGTCCCTGACGTCGACGATCAAATGGTACCAGGTGATCGGCAAGGTCCCAACAGTTATCAGCAAAATATTTAAAACTTCTAAGTCGAATAGTTTTTAATTTACAACGACTTATGTGTTCTACGATATAGTACATTACCCTATACTAATGGTTAATGTCCCTCTGGTAGATTATTTATAGATAGGTTTATTTATATCCGTCTGGTAGATATTACCTAACGGACTGACCAATTAGATTTTTCATTTTCATACCCTGTCATGTCATAAGCCTGTCATCATCCCTATTATCGATACCCGATAGCGACGATGGCGTCAATATTTTAGCAAGTCGTCGCTAAAGGCAATGTAATCGATCTTATACTATTTGCATGCAAGCTGACGGTAGAAATATGGTTATAACACCAGTATTTATATTATAAACATGTAAAATGTACCTAATTAGTGGATTTATCGCCTAATTCTAAAAAGAACATTATTGTACACAGCTTCATCACACAACAGAACTAGCTACCTATAAACTTGTTTCCTATACATCACAACCAGACCTGGAGTAATGATTTGTAAATCACATATAAATTGACAAAATGAAGGCGACATACTGATGTCACGTTGTGTTGCAGCTTGTGGCTGGCTCGTCCTCGGGCTCCTCTAGCGGCGACGCTGGCGCATCTGCTGACGGAGACGACGCTGGCGCCGCCAAGGGCGACAACCTGACGGAAGGAGTGCCCGGCCCCATCACGAGGCTGTTCATCATTGCCAACCGCGGTATCGCAAACCTCATTCAGGACCTGATCCTCCGGATCGCCCAGACCTCCGAGAGAATAGTAAACTTCAAGGCGCGACTGATCACCTCCATCATTTAATGCGCGCGCATGTAGATCAATATTTTAGTGTAGGTAGTAGTGTAGAGGCCAGCGGCAGAGGTCGCTGTGCCACAGAGTGCGCCGCGCGCGCGTGACGTCACGCTCGGCCCGGCGCGTGACGTCACGGCGCGAGAGTGCGGCGCACGCGGGGCGGCGGCGTGGCGCGGCCCGCGGACCGCCCGGCGCCGCCGCCGTTCCTGCTCAAGCTTTTTTATACCGCAATATTCTTGATTCGTTTTTACGTTTGTAAATATGTATTATAGCGGAATTTGTATAAAATAAATAAATAGTTAAATTATTGTCATCTTTTACTTTTGTTAAATTTTATAGCAATCCTTTGCGCTCCCATCCCTCATCTCAAATCCCCAATCCCTAATGTGCAATATGCCCCAAGTGTAAATCCCCAAAATTAAATACTATCAGTGTCACTTATCTGTCGTTGGCCGCTTTAATTTAATCCATATAAACATGCCAAATATATATTTATCACGGGTATTTGAAAAATATTAGTACCTAACTAGCTGACCCGGCGAACTTTGTTCCACCTTAACTCGTCGAGTACCGGTTTTATAGACACAATTAAAGAACAATAGGTCGCGGTCACCGGTGACCGCTTGGTGTTTGACAGTTTAATGGAAAAAATACAAAAAAAAACAGTAATTATTCATTCATTATTATTTCTGTATTTTAGTACATAGGTCACTTAAGTACCTTGAGATATACGACATTTTTTGTTTTATTATCAGGCGCAAAAACAAACAACGCAGATGGTCTTCCGACCCGTGAACATGCCACGTATAATTGACCATCCGGGAAAAACATGAATGTTCTAGATTTAAACCACAAACTTTTAAGGATTGACCTTGTGATTTGTTGATGGTCATGGCCAATGCAAGACATATCGAAAATTGAATTCTTTTAAATTCCAACGGCATATCGGTTGGGATCATCGGGATCCTCGGAATGAGAACTTCGTGAAGTTCTTTGAATGTTCCTATCATTATCGTAGCATAAATAACATTGTTCATCAATTTTGTAACCACCAAACGCGTACCGTTGCACAGTTTTGGTTGGTTTATGTTTCGAAGCATGATTATTACGGAGCCAGCCTTTAGGCGTAAATAGTGCGGTGGTAAGCCCGGCACGTCCAAACAGTTTAAAAATTCAATTGGATAGTTGGTGGCTTCATCTTCATTTGACGCAGTCAATAGATTTGAATGAATGCATTGTTCCAATGATCTTATTTTGAATTAGGTAGGTATGTAGTTCAGGAAAATATGTCAGGTAACCTAAAAAGGTATACTTAATATTATAAATTTGTTTACGTCTGTTTGTTTTGTTAGAAACTGACTTGATTTTTTTACTGAGTAGAGATAGTGGAAAGGATTAAAAGTAGCATAGGCGACATTTTGTTTCTTTCCAACCCGCCACTTCCCTAAAACAGGGGCTGGAAGTTTGTATGGAGCATTTCGTAATTTTCAAGAATTCTAAAATTATTCTATCACATTTGTGACCAGAAAAATATCGGGTACCTATTGTTTTTTATTATTTGTAAACCAGCCCTCAATACTTAGAAGAACGCGAGCAGAAGAGGCAGAACCTAGAAAAACTAGCTATAAAATGTATTTGGTTAATCGATCTGATGCACCTAAATACTATTATTAGTCCTTGAAAACAGTTTTCTATTGGCAGTTTTCTATTGGCTTAAGCAATATAAGGAGTTTTTTGGTAGTGTTTTCACACATCGGGTTACACTAACTAAATTTTCAAACGCTGTCGAACGGTATAATAAATATCTTATGTCCGTCTCCTAGCTCTAAGCTTTTCAGCCAAATCTGTTCTGCCGTTCTTGAGTTATAAGTCGTGTTAGTTATTCATCCAAATTTATTTTATCACCTTCAAAGTATGCTCCTTTAGAAATGATACACTTTCGCCAACGAATAATCCATTCATCAAAACATTTTTAAACGCTGCTTCCGGAATTGAGTTCAGTTCTCGAATTCTCCTTTAAGATAGCATTTTCTTTTTTCTTCTTTGGCAACAGTATTTTTTTTATTAGTCAAAAATAAATACAAACATATTTTGACAATCACTGCCATGCTAAAACGTCAAACGTCAAACGTACATCATACGTCAACGTCAAACTCAAATGTCGCAATATTATAATATAATAGACTTTAGCCAAGTTATTATTTTATTGTTCTACACGTCTACCGTACTACACAACATTATCTATTTATATTCACAAAACTAAAACATTGCAAATACTATTTTATCACCCAACCATCAAGGTGCAGACAAGTCACCGGCATGGTGGCCGCTGTGTTATTGTGGCAGTGGAAGTGAACGTTTTCATTCATGAGTTGATTCAGTCACTGCTGGTCACTAGTAGTGTTAGTCCACATGACTTGGACTGAAATATTTAAAACAAGCAATATAAACAGGCAGTAGACATGGCGCTATACGAGGGGATAGCGCTAATACAAGAGAAGCAAGCTGTCGTGTTGGACCTCGGCACTGACTACACAAAGTGAGTACATCGATGATAGACCAGTCGAATGAGGAAACACATGAGTGACGCTCACACTTTTACAAAAGTGCAATAGGTAATATGATATATTATATTACATATGTACCTATACAGCAATTCATAAAAAGGTTTTGGATACCGAGTTCTATCGTGTTACCAGTGTCCTCTCTGTATGTTAAAGTGTCATGAAGTGTAATATTATTTTATTTATATTGAATTAGGGTCTTCAACAAGGAAAACACACAAGAGTAACATTACAAAAAATTTTAATGTGCATCCTCAATTGTAGGCCACAACATGCAAAAAAAATCATACAATTGTACATAAAACTTCCAATAAACAAATTACTTAACATAAAATTAAAGTATTTATCCTGTTGAAATGTCATACCCTAAATTTGTTCATACAAAAGTAGTCTCTACACATCGGAAATAAGGTCTATAATGTATACCTTAATTATGTATGGTGTATACTTTATTTCAACCTGAATTTCTCACTACTGAGATAGTGAATAAAATGACAATTACAGATATCTGGAAACTGAAATCAATGGGTAGTAGCTGAAAGACACAACATTTTGAAACTAAGTTTCTAAATTATGACATCTTCATTAATAAAATTGTCTATCTCCTTAACTATTGGGAATATCTTTGTAATTATACCTCTAAATAAAATCTACATCAATGGTGAAAATTTTCTTGAAACAGGGACAACTTTCCCTAGCGTAAGTTTCTTTCATAAAAATCAGTAAAGTGAAAATTTAATAAATTTTCACTTAAGAACTGAAAACTTCCTATTTTAAGTATTCCATTTTAAACGCTAGTTATTTAACTATGAACGTAATAGACTTCAGCCTCCCCACTACTAAACAAATACTAACTATTGTTGAGGTTCTGAGGTTCTCAGTAATTTCAAATTTAGTTTTTACACCAACCTCTAAGGATCACAGTAAAACTTAACCAGAAGATACAATGGGCCATATGATGGAAAATTCAATTAAAAGACTAGATAAGTTGACATTAATTGCAAGTAAAGAACGTTTTATTCTAGAATAAAATAACCGTTTTCAAACTCTTAATTTAGATACAGAAGATGTGGAAATACAATACAGAAATATTTCAAAATGCATAAAGACTGCAAGCCACAACATCAAATAGCTAATAATACAGAACGAAAAATTGCAGCTAAAAATGATAAAAGCAAAATCCGCACAGATATCCGTATTACCACACACAACTTATAAAAACCACTCTGGAGAAAAACCAGACCCTTAGAACCACAATTAGAGGCACATAAAATGAAAAAGTATCAATAAGCAACCACAAACACAATTCCGGGGTAAAACAGACAGACAAAACAAAGATTTAAAATGTTTGTACAGAGTATTATAAATCCCTTTATGCTGCCGTTAACAACACCCAAACGCACACAAACAATATTATACTCATATTATTCAGAAATCATCGCACTTATTACCAGCTTTGAAGTCCATCAAGCCTTACTAAACATAAAATACAGCAAAGATGGTATTACCACGGAATCATTGAAAATAGGAAAACCAATTCTGTTGCCTCATATCACCAATTTATTTAACTCCATATTAAAAACCAGACAAATACCCAAAAACTATTGCCAGTCCCTTTCATCAATATTCACAGCATTAAACAACCAAGACATCCACCCCACCTATATCAATTTGCTTCAGAACATTTACCGTGAAAGTACTGCAGCAATCAGACTACACAAACTCTACCAATCCTTTCCTATTTTAATGGGGTCAAACAAGGCGACCCGCTATCCCCGAAACCCTTCACTGCAACTCTGAAGAGATCTTCAAAAAGCTGGAGTGTACAAGAGTACAAGAGAGACTTTGTACTCTTGTACACTACAATACACTACTACACTACAGTCTAAATAAATTAGAAGTTGACGTCCTCTATGACCCTGTTCAATTTGATCCATACTCTCAAGGACACCTGTATACAGATGGCACTGTATCTAGCTTGACGTAAATAACAAACGCGCTATAATAAAATACGTTTAAAAATATAATTAGTGCAGAAATAGTGTAGTAAAGTGAGTGAATCTGTAAAACTAGACCCAATAACCCAGTGATAGTGTTTTTCAACAATTGTGTACATTAATTACGAAGTTAAATTACAAAATTCAAAGTTCCAAACATCGTCGGAGTGTATTCAGTTACCCAATTTAAATATTAGCTACAACACAAAAAAGGTGTTATTCGGCGTTAAACTTGTATAGTATCCAAAAACAACAATATGAGTGAATGTAACTAAAACAAAATCGAGTGAAAAAGTGGCTCAGTGATACAAAACAAAAGTTATACAACCGCCAACATTTAAATTGCAAGCTAAAAGTACATTAACCCTCAGTTCATATTCTAAACAAATTCTATAATAATTAGTCGCGTATTTCGATAACTTCACTAATGTTCGCATGGCTGAATATTTTGCTGGTCTACTTACATTACACTAGTACCGAGTTCAAATCTCAGTGACACATGAACTACTTTTCGGAGATTTGTAAAATTTATTTAATGCTTTCTGTGACCATTCAGTCTGATAAAGTAAAGCGTTGGCAAAAGGATAAAAATAAACAAATCGAATAAGTTAGTATTTTAAAATATCTAATATCAACTGGCGACATCTGGTGGTCAAAAATGTCATCTGTTACTAAAGCTGCCCGCAAGATGCCAGCACTAGTGGTGTGTCATAAATGCAAAAAAACTGTGGATGTAAAACACACAGCTTTATGTTCTGTCTGCAAAAATAATTTCGAACCAGACTGTGATGGTTATCCTGCTCAGACGTATAGATTAAAAAGCCCAAAATCAAAAAATCTATGGCGTTGTACAGCATGCACTAAGGACATTGTTCCTTCTGAAGATACAAATATAACAATTAGGAAAAAGAAGCTCCTGCCTACAATAACTCACATAAGGAATGAAAATCAGCCAGGGTCTAACAATGGTTTGCATATACCGACCAATTCCACACCATCGAAAACAGCATGTGAGACGCCCTGGTCCACACCAAAAAGCTCAATAAGTGATCAACATGAACATCAACTGTCTTTAAATGATACGCACGACACATCGTTATCTCTTATCGAGCAAACATTGTCACGCAGTGTGGATCACACTTTAATGGACGCCATCGGTATACAGGAAATTGATGAATCTATGAAGCAACTTCGGTCTGAGCTTGCCAGTACGCAAAATGAATTAGAACATATAATACTTGAAAATAATGATCTACGAGGTCAAATAAATAAATTAACAAAGGAAAATGGTACACTGAAAATGTTTCTATCTCACTCGCCAAACTGCAAGACTAAAAAGAAGACAGGTTCACAGAATACCCTTACACCTTCTAGATCTGAGGCTATACAGCTTGCTCTGACGGATTCAAATAACTCTACTGTGGCATGTACGCAGAAATTCATCGAAGACCTCAAACAACAGTTGGACAGAGCTAGGAGTGAAATAAGTGGTCTTAATGAGCGAATTCGCAACTTACAAGAGGCCCTACAAACTAAAGAAACTACGGACTTGCAGCCGCGCCACTCTTCTCTGGATGACTCCAGATTTTCCCCCAATCTAACAACGAACGGAAACGGGGTAAAAAATAAACTATGTATTCTAACTAACGTGAGTTCCTATAATACACTGTCAGCTGTGGAGGATATATTCGGTTCACAATTTTACTATTGTCGTTATGTTTTTCCAAATATGAATGTATTGCAATTGTTGAATAATCTAGATAATAAGATATTGAATTTTAATATGAATGATTACTGTGTAATTATGCTCGGAGGCAATGGTTTTGATATGTCATGTAATTATAAGGAAATGGTAAGTGTTATTAAGAAATCGTTAGAACATATAACCCACACTAATTTAATTGTCTGTGCGCCTACTTATGTTTGTGGGGCTCCCATATATAACTACAAAATTGAATTATTCAATAATCTTCTGCACAGGGATCTGGAAAACAATAATTATGCTACCTGTTTTGATTCTAATAGCTACCTCACCTTTGACATGTTCTCACAAAGTACTGGTAAACTTAACAGAAAAGGATTAATCAATTTATACAAAGTAATTATGTACAATATTAAAAGAAACTTGTTTAATTTTTGTAAGAATGCCTCTCCACATAGTAAATGTAATAAGTTTTTTCTCGAGTAATCATTGTCGTAAAATCGAAATAAGTAAGAGCAAACCCACTAAAAGAATTATGATGTATTATCAGAATGTAAGGGGTCTTCGGACAAAAACATCAGAATTTTACACTAATGCCATGTCATCTTCATATGATTTCGTTGCTCTCACTGAAACTTTTTTAAATAATTCCATTTATGATTCTGAGTTGTTCACTTGTGATTACACTGTATTGCGTAAAGATCGGCCGGGTGATGTCGGTTGGGGAGGTGTTTTGTTGGCAGTAAAAAGTTGCTATGAGGTTAAGAAAGTTACAAATATCGATGATTTAACTGATGATAAGGAGTTGATATTCGCTATAGTTACGCGGAAAAATGTCAAAATATTCATTATTGTTGTGTATTTGCCTCCTAATTATAATTCTAAGCAATATTTGAGTGTCCTAAATTGTATAGAGAATGCTGTTAGTGCATATTCAAACTACGATTTTTTAATTGTCGGAGATTTCAACTTAAAATCATGTAGTAACTCTGTAAAGATGCAGTTTGATGTATTTCTTGATTACTGTAAATTACGTCAATGTAACAATGTACGCAACAAATTTGACAGCATACTGGACTTTGTTCTGACTACCGTAAACTTACAACATGTGAATGTAATATCTAATACTGAGCCCCTGGTACCTGTTGACAGTTATCACCCTCCTTTAGAGATATTTATCTCGCTTCCCCCATTAAAGCAGACGGTGACAAAACCAACGTCTAAAAAACGAGTACATAGCGCAAATATTGAATGGAATTTTCGCAAAGCAGATTTTCAATGCTTGTACTCTAACATAGCGAGTCTAGACTGGACAGAAGTCCTACAAGAAAGAGACCTAAACACAGCAGTAGATAGATTTTATGATAAATTAAACAACCTCATTGATAAACATGTCCCCCGAAAAAGAAATGTTAATATGAATAAATATGTATATCCGGTTTGGTATACTGGTGAAATAATACATTATATTCAATTAAAACACTATAATTTAAAAATGTTTAAAATCCGTAATTTACAATTTAATATGGAATTATTTAAATATTATAGAAGTAAAGTAAAACGACTTATTAATGACGCATACAAGAAATATATAAGCACCGTGGAAAATAATATAACTGCAAATCCGTCCTCGTTCTGGCAGTATGTAAAAGACAAGCGGGCAAAGAGACAACCGGGTAAGGAATTTGTTTATAATAACCAGGTTGTCGTAGGCCAAGATGCTGTTGATGCATTTGCACAATACTTTGGCTCAGTTTTTCATAACCGTATTCCATCACTGAGTCCAGAAGCAGCAATGCGAGATGCAATGGATTGTGGTTCGGTATCTAACATAACTATTAATAATATTAATGTTGTAGACTTGAGACGAGCTGTTCGTAGGCTTAAGGCATCATCCGCGTATGGTCCAGATAATATACCTGTCTTTCTGATAAAGGACTGTTTAATCAGTTTTGAATCACCTCTCCTCCACTTATACAATCTCTCTCTGCAAAGTTGTGTCTATCCTACTAGATGGAAAGTTTCAAGGGTAACGCCCGTTCCCAAAACTGGGTCGTCGATGGAAGTCACTGCTTTCAGACCTATTGCAGTTCTATCGGTGCTTGCAAAGTTGTTTGAATCTATAGTCAATCATTCTTTAACCAATCAGCTGTCGGGACTTCTTCATGATAGCCAACATGGTTTCCGACGAGCTCGTTCCACACTAACTAATCACACAAAATTCTTAGACTATGCTACTAATAAAATGATAGCTGGTGGTCAAGTTGACGCCGCGTATTTTGATTTCTCCAAAGCTTTCGATTTAGTGGACAATGATATCCTTCTAACTAAGTTTGCGTCTGTAGGCTTCTCGTCGGAACTTCTGAGATTCATGGCAGATTATCTTAGGGACCGGAAACAGTACGTGAAAATAGGTGATTTTCGGTCACAAGAATACTACACAAGGTCGGGAGTAAGCCAAGGTAGTACACTGGGACCTACGCAGTTTCTAATCATGATCAATGATTTACCCAGTGTCTTGTCTAAAACTGAATGCCTTATGTTTGCTGACGATCTAAAGTTATTCCGCTCTATCTCTGATATTAATGACTGTGTGCAATTGCAGAAAGATATTGATGCAGTTGTTAGATGGAGCGAAAGTAATAAATTATCATTTAATGTCACCAAATGTAAATCGATCACATTCACTCGTTCTAGATCCCCTGTCTCAATATCATATAAATTAGCAGGTACACCTCTTGAGCGAGTTGCATCTATACGTGATCTGGGCATTACATTGGATGCTAAACTAAATTTCCACGAGCACATAATTAAAGTATGCAAAGACGCTAGCAAAGCTCTAGGTTTTATAATAAGAATGTCCTCAAATTTTAGGAACCTTAAGACTATTAAGCTTCTCTACAATGCATATGTACGTAGTAAATTAGAATATAACTCAATTATTTGGAGTCCACATGAAAAGTTATATACCCTTATGGTTGAAAAAATCCAGCGTAAGTTTGCACGGTTCCTATACAAACGTGAATATGGATATTATCCATTTTTATACCCATCAATGTTTGTTTCTGGTATGGTAGGCCTGGACACATTGGAACTGAGGCGGAAATATGTACATATTTTACACTACTACTATTTGATAATTGGGAAGATAGATAATCCATCGGTGCGTGACAATATTTATTTTTATGTCCCCGATCGATATTTGCGTGGTACTGGTAGGCGGCGTCACCGACTACTTGCTTGTCCGCCGAGCTGGCGGTCTCCCCATACTGGTAACTGTCCAACGGGCCGGGCGGTTGCTATGATCAATGATCTTTTACAAAGCAATCCTGATGCAGACCTTTTTTTCGATGGTATTAGTGCAATGTCCAGATACATTTTGGCTTATCTTAATCACTCTTAACACTTAATTTTAGAGTAAATAGGTTGTTTTTGAATTGTTTGTCGGTTTTTATTGTTTGGTTGATATTTTATTATTTTATTACTTAAATATTTAACTGTATTTGATCTCATTATTGTTCCTAATTTTAGTTATAATGTAATATTTTAATTGTGTTTTTAGTGACATGTAGACGATTTGGTAGACATAATACTGTTAGTCTATATTGTTGTTATTATAAATAAATAAATAAATAAATACTCACCACTAGCTTAGCAAGATGTGATAATTTGTGTGGCCGTTCAGTGCTGCAATATATACACTACCGCTCAAAAGTATTTGGCCACTTGCACTTTTGATATTACCACCAACTATATTTCATTAAAAACAATTTTATTATGTTCTAATGTTTGTATTTCATCGTAAAATACTTATCTACATTCAAATAAGGTAAACAGCTTATTGTTATTGGCGAATTCCTGGTCGTAATATCAAGATAGTGTTATTGCCGGAATTTTTTTCAAAATTTATTTTAAGTGTCACTTTCTTTTTAATTACATTTTTAAGAAATAAATAAGTCGGTAACGTGGAATAATTACTAGAGATTGAATAACCTTAGTTATTTGATGTCATTGGACCAGAAATCAGGCTCTCCAACTCAAGAATTGAAGTCTAGTAACATTTTTTTTGTCATTCGCGCGTTAAGTTTTGTTTTTTGGTGAAAATGGGTAAAACGAAGGAACATTCTCAAGAGACCAAAGGCATTATAATCGGTCTTCATAAATCCGGTAAAAGTAATCGTGAGATATCAAGATTGCAGAAGATACCAAGGCAAACTGTGGACTACATTGTCAAGAAATTTGCGTCTGAAGGAACAATTTGCAACAGTCTTCGTCCAGGTAGACCAAGAGCCACCACTTCGAGTGAAGATTTGAATATTGTTGTCAAAAGCAAACGGAATAGACGATTAACCGCACCAGAAATAGCAGCACAATTCAACATAGGGCGTGATAAACCAGTGAGTGTGTCTACAATCAAAAGACGACTCCTTGACGCAGGACTTAAAGGATGCGTAGCGGTCTCAAAACCACTTCTTAAAGCTGTTAATAAAAAGAAGAGACTACATTGGGCTACGGAACACAAGAATTGGACAACAGAAGATTGGGAAAAGGTTCTCTGGACGGATGAATCAAAATTTGAAATTTTTGAATCTAAGCGAAGAGTTTTCGTACGCCGGCAGTCTAATGAAAGGGTGATCGACGCTTGTACTGTGGCTTCTGTTAAACACGGCGGAGGGTCTGTGATGGTTTGGGGCTGTTTTGGTGGCTCCGCCGTTGGAGATCTTGTACGGATACAGGGAATCTTAAAAAAAGAAGGTTACAAAAGCATATTAGAGAATAGTGGAGTACCGTTAGGAACCCGTTTAATTGGTTCGGGATTTGTATTTCAGCAGGATAATGATCCTAAACACACGTCGAAACTCTGCAAGGACTTTTTAAAAGGAAAAGAACAACAAAATGTCTTGAAACTCATGACCTGGCCTCCGCAGTCCCCAGACCTCAACCCTATCGAATTATTGTGGGATCAGTTAGATAGACAAGTGCGAAAATGTTGTCCTACATCTCAGGAAAACTTATGGAGAAAGTTACAAGAAGAATGGCAGAAGATAACTAAGACGACACTGGAGAAATTAATTGCAAGGATGCCGAAGCTTTGTGAAGCCGTAATTAAAACCAAAGGTGGACATATAGATGAGTCTAAAATTTAGGAAACGTGTTATGTTTAATATTTAAAATAGTGTTAATAAATAGTTTAAAATATTATAAAGCAGTTTCATTCATTCAATCTTTCACAAAATGTATTTTACAGGGTGGCCAAATACTTTTGAGCGGTAGTGTATATAATATAACTGGTGAGAATTAAAGTTAGACCTGACTGGAACATTTAAAATGTTACACAAATGTAATTAGTACTCAACCAGAACACCAACAAGTCACCAAATACAATAGGCTAGATCATGTGACGTCAGTAATGTGACATTGTGCAGATTTGGGTTCACGGGCGAGGCGGCGCCGCGCTGCATCGTGCGCTCGGAGTTCTGGTGCCCGGCCACGCGGCGCTACCGGCGCCTGCACGACTACCGCTCGGCCGCGGAGCTCTACGACAACCTCGTGCACATGCTGCACCAGCTCTACTTCAGGTCTGCTGGCCGCGTCACTCGACTCTTTCTGTAGCATTATAACTTTTCTCTTATAAAAATATTCCCACAGGCATGTGCTGGTCAACCCGAAGGAACGCAAAGTTGTAGTGGTGGAGTCTCTGCTTACCCCCACTCTGTTTCGGGAGACGCTAGCTAAAGTGCTCTTCATACACTATGAGGTAATTATACAATTTTGGTACAATATTTCTGCAGCTGCAGTCAAACTACAGTCGGCTTAGTGCGAGTTTGTTTTAAACCCAAAAGCAAACTCGCACTAAGCCCTCTGAAGTAAATGTCACTTCTTTGTAATGTACGTGCAGGACCCCTGCGCGCGCCGCCCATACATACAAGGAAGTTACAGCTCAACATTACAAAAAATATGTTTTTATAAAAAGAACACCGGGTCGGAATTTGATGAGCTATGGAACAGTGAATCGTGGCTATGATGATACCTTTCAAACAGAAATAGTCAGAGCCGTGGCGGAGCTGGGTGTATTTCGCCTACTATCCTTTCGTACAACAGGAATTAAAATTTTGTCAAAAAATACTGTTAGTACCTAATTTAAACATAATTTTTAGCCATAATTTTAAAAATAATTTTATTACCAGTTACTCCCGCGCGTTATCACCCGGTCTGCCCGTCTCCTATTGTCCGTACCGTGATGTTTTATATCCTAGGTAAAATCATGAATAATTTCTCCCGCCTGAGTGAGGTGGGAGGGAGTGACAGACTCTTACCGACTAAAAACCACCCGACGCCCTAAGTGTCCTTCGCGACGGCTGGTTTGTGAGAAGGCAGCACTTCGCTACCTCACGCGCCCCGCCTCCTCCTGAGCTAGCATGACTACTTCGCAAAAGCAGGAGACGGCATCATCGCTCGGCATCACGGCCCGGACTAGGACCGGATGCTAGAGGTCGCCGTCGCCGTCTCCGATCACATCCCTGAGGGCACGGTGGTGCTCAGCCCACGGGCGTTTCCTCCCGCCCTATCAGACACAGGTACCTCCCGAAGCTCCCATGTCCGGTGAGGGCCTGCTTCAGGCGGTAGGAGAGGACGCCGTAGCGTCTCTCAAGCCACACGTCAAAAAGGGGCTTACCGCTGCAATGGCAGCGAGCCCAGTTTTATATCCTATAGCCTTCCTCGATAAATGTACTATCCAACATAAAAATAATAATTCACAAACGACCAGTAGTCCAGAGATTAGCGCGTTCGAACAAACAAACAAACTCTTCAGCTTTACCCAAAGTATAAGATATTGTATAGTCGAGTGACATTGCGTGTGAAAGTGATGTGTGTGTATGTGTAGGTGTCGGGCGTGGTGTGGGCGGACAGTCCTCGTCTGTGCGCGCTCACGCTGGGCGCGCCCGCCGTGCTCGTCGTCAGCATCGGCGCAAAAGATGTAGAGGTCGCCGCAGGTAAACTCCATTACTTTGATATTCTACTTCATTAACTATGTAGCTACAAAACGAGCAACACACCTAAATATTGTGTGGGACATGTCGGCAGTGGTGCACTCGTGCGTGGTACTACACGCGCTGCAGTCGCAGCCCCTGGGCGCGCGCGCCGTGCACGCCGAGCTGGCCAGACTACTGGACGAGCACAACGGGGGCCCGCTACACTTGGACGACCAGGTCATCGAAGACATCAAAGGTATGCAAAGCACAATCGACCTCGATCGTGATAATGGGAACAGTTTAGAATGGCATCGAATCTCCCTTCGATTTTAGTGAAGACGTGTTTCGTGACGACTCGGGAGCGCGCGGCGCAGTGGAGCTCGGAGCGGCCGCCGCAGCCGGCGCGCGACGTGCGCTACGGCCGCGTCACGGTGCCGGGGCGCGCGCGCGAGCTGGCGGCCGAGCCGATGTTCCAGCGCGACCACGAGCTGGCGTCGCTGCCGGACGCCGTGCTGCAGTGCGTGGCGGCGTGTCCGCGCGACGTGCGGCGCGCGCTGGCGGCCGGCGTGCTGGTGACGGGCGGCGGCGCGGCGCTGCCGGGGCTGCGCGCGCGCCTGGCGGCCGAGCTGCGCCACCTGGTGACGCAGGCGCCGTACCGCGACACGCTGCACGTGCGCGAGTTCAAGTTCCACGACGCGCCGTCGGCCCCCAACGCGTGCGCGTGGCTGGGCGGCGCGGTGCTGGGCGCGGGCGAGGCGGGCGCGGGCCGCGTGCTGGCGCGGGAGCAGTACGCGCGCGAGCCGCGCCTGCGCGACTGGGTCTGTCTGCTCGACAACACGCCGCCCGCGCACCCGCACCGCGCGTACCTCGACATATAGTCGACTTTTTGTAAATAATCGACCATCAGCTACTGTATAATGTATTAATCATTTCATTGAAAAAGGACCACCCTCCATTGTTAATGCTTATGTTTGTGTAACTCTGTAGTAGGTACCTCTTCTTCTAACTCGCACAAGCGCATATAAAATACCGCCTTAACATAATGATACTTCCACTAAGATAAACATTTTATTTATTTATTTTTAGCCATGGTTGTCCCATTGCAGTCCATTGCACCCTCCTTCCACTCGTCTCTTCTTATAGCTTTCTTTGGCCAATCCTTTTCATAGTTCATCCGGCCAGTTTTATTTAATAATTATCTAAGTATATAAATAAAAATGAATTGCCGTTTGTTAGTCTCGCTAAAACTCGAGAACGGCTGAACCGATTTGGCTAATTTTGGTCTCAGAATGTTCGTGGAAGTCCAGGGAAGGTTTAAACTTAAGCTAGTAAAAGATAAAGATTTACTTTAGTATTGTTAGTTTATCTATTTTTTTTACAACAACAATTATTTATTTATTACTGTTTGTGTAAAATAAAAAAATTATAAAAAATATGCTTTAAAAACGTCTTTGTACTTCTCATCCTTTGTAGGACAGGCCGCGAAATTGACGGATCACCTGATGGCAAGTAATAGACCGTCGACGCCGTAAGTACACCCATTATAAAGGTGTCCAATAACTACCCGATTCGATGTTATCCGATGTCGACGTTGTGACTGCAAAAACCTTTAGGAAATTAAATTTCGGTGGTTACTGCTAAATGCTTCAAATATGGCAAAATTAGCGGAATTACGAGTGACTCCAATGTCAGTTATAGGAGCGATATCCTTTTGCAAAGCAGTCATACTAGCTAAGGAGGAGGCGGGGCGCATGAGGCAGCGAAGCGCTGCCTCTTCCCAACCCAGCCGTTGCGAAGAACACTCCGAGCGTGGGGATCGCGGGATGATCTCCGGCCACCGTAAGCGCGGGCATGCGGACGGCGAGCATGGGTAGCTCGCCGCCCGATCAGAACCAGACGACGAACGTACGGCGCGTCGCGTTCAGACAACCACGGATGGGGCCCAATAGGGCTGATGCCGATACAGAGCCGCGAAAAACTTAACTAGCTACCGGGGCTCCGGCTCGAAGTGCAGGAGTAGGAACGGGGTGGTTTGTAGTCAGGAAGAGTCTGACACTTCCTCCCGTCTCACCCAGGCGCGATAAGCGATTCAATGATTTTCGCCCCTTTTAAAAAAAGTGTCTGTTATAAGATTTCCGTACAGTCAAAGTTAGTCTTCAGATCTTTAGATTCTGAATGACATGAAACGTTTGCTTTGTGAAATAGCAGTTTTTTTTTAACTAGCTGATGCCCGCTACTTCGTCCACGTAGAATATTAATTTTAGAACATAAATACATTTTTTGTTTCAGTTTTCCAAAATAAAAGTAGCTTATGTTACTCCTTAGCACATCAGTTAACTACCCATAAAAGTCCCGTCAAAATCGGTCCAGTCAATTCAGAGATTAGTACAAATTGACAGACAAAAATTGTAAAAATGTTATTTCGGTATGTGTATCGAATGTAAATTCATATGCATGTAGTAAAAGCGGTGATTGAAACAGACTAATTTGATTTATCAGTATGGATATTGCACTTCGAATCACAGAGAATAATAAATTTCTTTTTGTAAAACTACTTAACACACCACGACTTTGACGAACGTCACAAATTATTGTCTATGTTTTTATGTCATGACTGTCATTTTCATTTTGTCAACTGTCAGATTGTCTTTTTGTCATCATCATAGGTTGAAAAATCTAAAAATACTAGAAATTACCAACTGTTTCTTATACTAACAGGTTTTTACCAACAATAGTGTAGTTCCTGCATCATGTCGGATATAAAAATAGTAGCAGCGAGTATTGTAAACTTTTTAAAACGACAGCTAGAAGGTGACTCGCTCAGCGTGGACTCGCGCGAGAGCGTCGAAGTCGGCGTGCAGTGCATCGAGACTGCTTTTGAGCTGGGCCCTGAAGATGCCGCTCGTGGTGTCGACCTGCTGCAGCTCGTTCGTGCGCAGGTGCGTCCTACGTCGCTCAATGTTCCACCCACACGCTCTGAGGCTGAGAAGCTTAAAAATGAAGGTAATGAGTTCATGAAGAGTGACCGCCATCAAGAGGCATTAGAGAAATACACACGCGCCATCGAACTGGACCCCACCAATCCCGTTTACTTCTGTAACCGTGCTGCCGCACACTTTAAGCTCGGAGACAACGAAGGAGCTGTGGCCGACTGCACAGCTGCGCTGACCCTGCAGCCGGACTACAGCAAGGCGCACAGCCGCCTCGGCCTGGCGCTCACGGCACTCGAGCGGCACCGCGAGGCGCGCGCAGCGTACGCCCGCGCCGTGCAACTGGAGCCTGAAAACGAGTCATATCGCCAGAATCTGCGCCTCGCGGACGAACAGTTGGCGGCGCACGGCGAACGACCGCCATTAGATCTCGGTGGGCTCCTCCAGAACCCAGCTCTGTTAAATATGGCCACTGAAATGCTGGCAGACCCCAACATGCAGAACCTTATTTCTGGGCTCATGAGCGGCGCCGGCGGCGCAGGTGGCGGCGGTGGCCAAGCAGGCGGCGCGGGGGGCATGTCCGCGCTGCTGGAGGCGGGGCAGGCGCTGGCTCAGCACATGCAGGCTGCCAACCCCGAGCTGGTGGAGCAGTTGCGTCGCCAGGTGCGTCCACCCGGCCCCAATCCCCCGCAGTGAGGCCAGGCTCTCTGCTCCTTGCATGTTATTCCGTGGGGAAGATTGTTTAATCTTTTAAGATGTAATATAATTTTATTTTATTCACATTTACTGATTATGGATATGCGTTCATGGACTTTTATGTTTATTTGAAGACACTGTGCCTACACCTGGCTGAGAACTCACTTGTTACAATGGGTAGTCTCGCATGCTATACCTTGTGTGGTTTGAATTGGTTTCTAGTTTGTGGGGACATAGATACCAGTGCAGGCACATGCTACCAACATTACAATATGCATTTATACTTTGTCAATGACAGCAAATACTTATCTAAATGAAAGTTATGTCACTGAATCATTAGTTAGAATTAAATTGTATAAAGTGAATCCTTTAGAGGGTAAAATGCATGGAGGCCATGCTCTTATAATGTAAAATAATACAATATGTGTGGAATGTTAAATGAGAGGGAAGCATCAAGAGTTTATCTCCGTTTAGCCCAAATTATTAAAAGCTAAGGTTTCAAGATTGGTATTGTTAATAAATTTATTTAAATAACATTGTTTTTTTTCCTTGTCATCAAATTACTAGATTTATTTTTTTACTTTATTTATTTATTAATAAATCACACAGGTAAGTATGTTATAATTTAAGCCCCACAAAACAGTTGCAATGGTTTGACTGTGGGGTCGAGTCACAACAAATTACAATTCAATGTACTTATTATTATTATACAGGAAACTTGTAACATATAGAATTTAAGAAATTTGTAGGTAATATGACTTTAACTCGTAAGAACAATAGGTTGCGGTCAACGGTGACAGCTCTGTGTTTGACAGTTTTATTCACATTTAAACCTATGGTGTATGGTCTTACTTATTCTTACATCACCAACCCATTACAATTTATGGCTCTTTAAGTAATAATTATCTATAGGGTATGTATGGGTGGAGTTTAGCCATACTTTGGGCACAACTCTGACTGTTACTGTTCGACAACTAAAAACATTAAAAATCCCAATTGTTACTTGCTTGACAGGTCCCTCATGTTATACGGCCACTCGATCAAAAAGACAGGCAGTCTTAAAAATAATTTATTGATCAAACATCGACCGAAATCGACATCATACCAAAAAACAAGCAGCTATAGGTATGATATGCGTATATCCTTTCCTTACTAGAGGTATAATAATTTTAATAATATTTATAAATCTGAAAGTGAGTTTGTTTGTTTGTTTCACCTTCACGCCGCAACTACTCAAACGATTGCTTTGAATTTTTGCAGACGTAAAGTTAGAAGTCCGGATTAAATAATAGGGTGCTTTTTAACCCTGAAAAATTTGATATTACTCCAGTCTGTAACTTTATGTCTGCCTCATTGGCCGAGTCGTCGCAAGTGCGACTGCCGGGCAAGGGGTCTCGGGTTCGATTCCCGGGTCGGGCAAAGTATTACTGGGTTTTTATAAATCTCAGTAGTAGCAAGGAGTCTGGAAAAATGTGCCCGGTATATGGCAATAGGCTCACCCCCTATTACATGGGACTCATAACATAAATAGTGAAAAGTGGGTGTTACATTGTACAGTGGCATTAAGTGCCGAAATGTGCACCTCTGCCTACCTCTTCGGGGATAAAAAGGCGTGATGTTATGTTATGCTGTAACTTTATATCCTGGGCACAACATTGGGTACCCACTTTTTATCCCGAATTCCCGATAAAAATATACCTACACAAAAAACAAACTTAATTGTGCGGTTCAATCCCTACTCCCTAGACATAGTGTACCAAACGCAAATATATCTAAGTTTGTCGAATATTAGGTTACCTACATACCCGCAATGGCCATTACACTGTAACAGTAAGACCCATCGTGGAAATTAGCTTGAATCGCTATTATAAATGTGAAATGTGTTTGTTTATCACTCAATCATGTCAAAACGGCTGAAGGGACCGGGATGTAATGTAGAACAGAGGTTTCTACATTTTACTCTTGGGAACGGCGCGGTCGCCGGCAGAAGCTAGTATTATAAAGTTGGTATGTATGTCGCTTTATGTCTTACGTCCCGTAATGGTTAAATCTAAGTTTTTCGGTACCGATATCGCATTTAAAGGTTAGACCCTGGTATCTTGGGCTCGCTGCCATTGCAGCGGTAAGTCCCCTCTTTGAGGAGTGGCTTGAGAGACGCTACGGCGTCCTCACCTACCGCCTGACACAGGTCCTCACCGGACATAGAAGTTTCGGGAGGTACCTGTGTCTGATGGGGCGGGAGGAAACGCCCGGGTGTCATCACTGCGAGGACCGCCCTGAGGACACGGTGGAACATACTGTTGCGGAATGCCCTGCGTGGGCTGAGCACCGCCGTGCCCTCAAGGAAGTGATCGGCGATGGCGACCTCTCGCGTCCGGGTCTAGTGCAGGCCATGATGCGGAGCGAGGGGGACTGGGATGCCGTCTCCTCCTTTTGAGAAGCAGTCATGCTAGCTAAGGAGGAGGCGGGACGCGTGAGGCAGCGAAGCGCTGCCTCCTCGCAACCCAGCCATCGCGAAGGACACACCGGGCGTCGGGGATCGCGGGACGATCTTCGGCCACCGTAAGCGCGGGACTGCGGACGGCGAGCATGGGTGGCTCCCCGTCCGACCAGAAACAGACCCGAGCGTACGGCGCGTAGCGTTCCGCGCGCGCCTCAAAGAGCCATCAGACCACCACAGATGGGGCCCAATAGGGCCGATGCCGATTCGGAGTCGCGGAGAACCTAACGGGTAACCGGGGCTCCGGCTCGACGTGCAGGAGAAGGAACGGGGTGGTTTTTAGTCAGTAAGAGTCTGACACTCCCTTCCGCCTCACCCAGGCGGGAGCAGTCATTCGATGATTTTCCCCCTTAAAAAAAAAAAAAAAAAAGAAAAAGACCCTGGTATCTATCGAAGATACGAATACCAATAATATCGGCACTTCAAAAACATTCTTGGCTAGCCAGGAATCGAACCCTGCGGTCACTCGATCAACGCGAGGATGTTTATTACTTAGATCCATCCCACCCATCATGGTATAAGTATGTATCTAAGTACCTAACTAAAACTATATTTTTTTCAATAATACCTACTAGCTTCTGCCTGCGACTTCTTACGCGCAATGTCGTTTTTACCGTTCCCGTAGGATTTTCGGTAACTATATCCGTCGTTGATTCTAACCTGCTACCCCCCACCATTTTCAGCCAATTCAATTTATTATATCTTTGGTTGATACGAATGGTAAAAAAATTTTTCTTTCAATTTTCATTTTCTCAATTTCTGAATTAGGTAATTATAAAAACAAACTTAAATCGATTTTCAACTTAGACTTAGATAATAAGAATCATTTTCTGATTTTTGGAAATTTCTCAACACGGACTTCGAAAACGAATTTCCATTCATCCGGGTTTCCTCGAATTCTATTTGTTTTATAAGGTTAAATGTTATATCGACCAGTATAGAAGGCCGGGTGCGGTTTCACTGTAATCACTGTTTCAATTCATCAAAGTATTTTTACCAAACTAAGAAATAATTTACAAGCAACACTTTATGGATAACATACTTAATTTGTACAGTCAGTTCGTCAGTTGTCCAGCTACCACGCGAATCGTGCAATCGTTAATAGCCTGTTGATACTCTAGTAGGTAGGCCCTGTTGTGGCCTTGGGGGCTCCGAAATACTTACGGTGTTTCACGCGATTTGTCTGAAAAGCACGAGAGATGACGACCAAAATTTTTGTCTCATAGCAATACGGCCAAAACCGCCTCAAATCGATAGATACGATTATCCTGAACTCGAAAATACCAATATCAGACATTTTCCGCGTAGCGTTTGATCTGACCACAAAAACACCAAACAAAAAAAATGTCTCCTAGCAATACGTCTGAAATTATTAGTAAATTTTGATTATTTGATGCGAACAAAACAATTTTCAGACGGAAATGTGAACGCATTAAATATTGAGACCGTTTTGAAAATGTTAACAAATACCGATCAGTATCATGACAATATGTCTGAAAATTGTTGGACATGATAAAATAAGTTGTCCACATGTGCAAAAAATTTATATCAGACAAAATAAGTGTAGCACCTTCTCTATAGACAACTTTTCGATACTCGAGATATTTTTGACACAGCAGAAATAGCCTCCCACGCAGTTGCTACACTTTCGACCGTTACTACACACCTAGTCGGGTTCAGAATCATACAATCTAACGATTTTATTTATTTATTTATTTATTTATTTAATCTTTAATGTACACAATTTTAATATGGCACATAAGGCGGACTTAATGCCATATGGCATTCTCTACCAGTCAACCTTAGGGTTTAAATAGAAAATCTGCGAAAAATAAGGTACGGAGAATAAACTAACAGCAAAGGGAGAGAGAGGAAAAAATAAATAAAAAGGGAATTATTCAATAATATAGCTATACATATATATTACCTAATAGTAAATAGTATATATAGTCATATGCATAAAATATATAGGTATAAATACATAAATAAATATATATCGACGAAGACCTAGACCTAGCGTTGCAGCGATTTTAAGTAAAATTCATGAACTTGGTGTTTAAAGGAGATTTTGTTAGGAGCTTTTTTGATATTGAGGGGGAGCGCGTTCCAAAGTTTAATGACACTTATTGTAAAGGAATTAGAAATAAAAGAGGTCCGGTGGGAAGGTATTTCAAGGAGCAAGTTATCCGTCGAGCGGAGGTTACGGTTGTGGCAACTGCCTAAAAGCTGGAAGCAAGATTTTAAGTAATCTGGAGCACAAGGATCATTAAGAATAGAGAAGAGCATGCAGAGGGATCTGAGGGATCTCCTCTCACGGACAGGAAGCCATTTAAGCTGAGCGCGAAAGGAAGAGATATGGTCGTATTTACGAAGACCGAAGATAAAACGGATACAGTTATTGAGCATTCGATCCAATTTGTTAAGAAGGTCTTGGGATAGATCGGAGTAACAAACATCAGCATAATCAACAACAGGAAGCACAAGGGACCGGACAAGCAGAATCTTGATATTTGGTGGCAGAAAGTTCTTGAACCTGTAGAGAGATCGTAGCGTGGCAGTTACTTTCCGGCCAATCTGAGCAACCTGATAATTCCAGTTGAGCCCGCTGTCCAGATACAAGCCTAGATCCTTTACGTGAGGAGACAATGGTATGGTGGTTTGATTAAATGTTATCGGATCAAGCTGATTGACATTTAGGCTATTCAAGTAATAGGAGCTACCTAAGATGAGGGCCTGACATTTGCCTACATTCACTGCAATCCCATACCTCCTTGACCAGTCTTCAATCGCAAGCAAGTCAGTGTTGAGATATGCTATACAAGTGTTCAAGTTAGCGATATCAGCCTGAGCGTATAGTTGTAGATCATCGGCGTAAAGGTGATAAGAGCATTTGAGGAGACTAGTAATAGAGTTTATAAATAGAGAAAATAACAAAGGGGAAAGTATACCGCCTTGTGGTACACCAGCTGTTAGCCCGCCCCAGTCGGAGAATTCCTGACCGACGCGTACCGCCTGCTGGCGACCACGAAGATAAGTAGAGAACCAATCCCGCGATGACGTCGAGAACCCAATCTGAGTTAGCATGGCCAAGAGAATATCGTAGTCAACCGTGTTAAAAGCGTTGGAGAAATCGATTAAAACCAACACAGTTAACCTCGAACCCTCCATGCCACGTCTTACATCCTCTGTGACCTTCAGCAGGGCAGGGCCTTTTACAGGGTTTTTGCCGTATTGCTATGAGACATGGTTTTGGTCGTCATCTCTCGTACTATAATCTGACCATCTAGCTTCACCGACAAAACGACTGGCATATAATATATTTTCACGTGTCAAAAATTAAAAAAACTGCGTTTGCAAAAACCGTCTTCAAAAACTAAAGACAAGCGAAAAGTAAAAACTAAAAGGAAAAAAATACTTTTTATTGGTCATACGTACTTAAATCTTACACACCCACTGATAGGTTAGAAGTCGGTGCTGTCGGTCGGTCGAATTGAGAACCAACTCCTTTTTTGAAGTCGATTAAAAGTGCCTGTTTTTTAATATTTACCAAACAGGCTGGTTTTGTTACGGAAAGTACGACTACAGAGGCGGATCTATTTTACTGTCAAGAGTCCAGACCTTAAAGATAAAAGCATAAATATGTAGGCACATACTTACCTACGTAGGTATTCCTTTTTTGAAAGCCTGGTAACGCACTTTTCACCTACCTACTTCTCTGGTGTCCGGATGGCCATGGGAGACCTGCCGTCTGCTAGGCTGCTCCCTATTCCATAAAGACAAGATACTTAGGTACACCTAGTCACACGACAAGCTTTTACGTCATTTTAATTCAATAGCATATACATATTACACACTAAATGTGTATACAGAACTTCAGTACAATCGGTTGCAGACATCTTCTTTAAAATTCAGAACTTGCAAGATTCCACGTCACACACACATACATACCATGCAACTTAATGTTTGTAAAGGATGTTCCCCTGTGTCGTGTCGTTCACTCGCTTCACTTTCACCCTACATAAATGTAAAACAAAGTTATGACAAACGGCAAGGAGCCGCTTCTTAATGCAGGATATGAGCGATATGTATCATAAAGCGCGCTACACGCACGGAGCGCTACGCTCCAAGTTTGTTGATCAGAACAGCTAAGGACATCTTTGTCATAGTCTGTGTTTCCTGAAGGGCAAAAGTAAGGGTAAGTTTACTTATGGGCAGGCGTACTCGAACGCAGGCCGCATTCACCGCTGAGGTACCATAGAAGGTTTGAAGGTCGATTATATTTTAGTTTACTTTTTATAAATTATGCACAGCGCACTACAGCAACCGCGCGCATCTCTATACTCAAACTATATACTATACTGAATGCAGTTAGTTAATCGGAATTCTTACCCAGAAGCTCATGGTAAAAGTGAAATGTATGCGTTTAGCGATGGACAGCATGCGTCATTTATTTTCATGACTCCAGTCAAACCCGAGATTGTGGAAAACTGGCGTCAACGGAGAACACGACTGTATCAACGAACATAATACATGCAATGGGAGCTACCGTTTTTGTAGTTACCAAATGGCGCAGATGTAGTAAGTGGATACCATAACATCACGCCTGTTTATCCCCGAAGGGGTAGGCAGAGGTGCACATTACGGCACTTAATGCCACTGTACAGTGTAACACTCACTTTTCACTATGTATGTTATGAGTCCCATGTAATAGGGGGTGAGCCTATTGCCATATACAGGGCACATTTCCAGACTCTGTGCTACTACTAATTTTTAAAAACCCAGTAATACATTGCCCGACCCGGGAATCGAACCCGAGACCCCTTGCCCGGCAGTCGCACTTGCGACCACTCGGGCAACGAGCGAGTCAAGTAGTAGCAAGAGGTCTTATGTCCAATCACAGCAGCTGTCCAATGGTGGGACCTTAACAAATTCTGTACTGGACGAAAACCGAGGCTCACACTAGCGCCATCTGGTGAGCAAAAAGACAGTGAGTAGGCCCCACTGAAGCTATCGAGTGGGACGTGTGGCCGCTGTACCGCAGTCCGGCTGATGGCAGTTTAAGCTTGCCTACCTGAAAATAAATAACGAGTTCGGTGGGAAGGGCGGTGTCCCATATTGAAATAAAACCAACTCATTGCTTCTTAACTATTTATTAAACTCTATAATTATATAATTTATGATAATAATATTGTATTCAATTTACATATCTTTATGTACATACAGTTGTTAGCAAAATGTAAAAGGCGCGAGTGGCGGCGCCGCGCGGCCTCGTCATGTCCCGAGTGACGTCACGTGGCAGCGCAGTGGTGCCAACCACAAGCTAAAATACATTTCAAAAATCTAGCCAATATAAAACTCTGTATTTACACAAACCCCACAAAAGTTGAACTCGCAGTTAGTACCCCAGTATACACAAGACAAAGTAGCAGCGGGCCGCCACACGAAGCTTTACACCTAAACACTGAAGGCAAGGCACGTCACGTGGACACGGCCACCCTCCGACACATGGCCCGCAGCTCTAGTAGGAACAACTCGACTACGGAACCAGAAAGTCCGCTCTAGACGCAATTACACTAGTCCAGCATTTATGAATACATTTTAGAAAATAAACATGTACTTAACGTATAAAGTTAACAAAATAAGTTAAGACGCAGCCCGCAGCCCGCAGCCCGCACTAACAGTAATTTAAGTAAATAAAGCTAATACATTGGATGCAGCTATTTGGTCATTTTCAACCTAATTTCACGTATAAATAAAAACTTACAAATACATGCAAGCTAATAAATAGTGTAAAAACATTTGTAAAGAAAATACATTAACGTTCAGGAAATACAATGAAACATTTACTTTGAATGTTGTTGTATGTCTCCCTACCACACAAAACTAACTCGTCGCGAACGGTGGCGGACAGAGCGACACTCTAGCTGACGACATCAATACGTACAGTCGAACTCTCAACTGTATCAATTAAGTAAATCTCTCGTTCGACTCGGCATCTAATAAATAACTTTTAAATTTCATAAAAGTGCATTAATGTGTAGAAGACATATCAAGATGTACTTGTGTAGCAACCGGACAAGTTGATAAATACCTTGTTGCGTGGCACGCGAGCGCGCTCAGTTCCGCTTGGAGGGCGGCACGAGGTGCGCGGGCAGCTCGGCCGGCAGGTCGTGGCCGTCGATCTTCACGTGGATGAGATGCATGGCCAGCGCGAACTCGTCCTCGTCCAGGAACCCGTCCTTGTCGATGTCCGACAGTTTCCAAATCTTGCCGAGCACCGAGTTCGGCAGCTTCGACTTCACCATCTCCGTCTTGGCGGCTGTCGACAAACATCACCGGGTCAGCTTAGCAGCATTGCTAACGCGATACACGGGCACACGACTCAACCGAAACAAGAACAAGCAACTTGGCGCTACATTCCTTACCAAGCAATATATGGAATCAAAAGTCAAAATATACAATTTCAGCAGCTTCATCTGATGGACAACCAGTGCAATCTGATAGTAGGGACTGAGTGCTAATGTGCGACACAAGCTTGCAGTCAAGCGAGGACTACGAGGGGGACTAGACTGCGGTACACTGTACACAACACTCGATCAATCCTCTGACTCGGTAGAGTCTGACTTTTGGAGAACAAAGTATCTAAGATCAAGACTCACTCGTAAGACTAACCTCAACGACTTCACTCGAAGACTAGAACGAAATGTATTTTGCATCAGGGAGACTCGGCTAAGCTCTCATAGCATAATGCATATTTCAAAAGTGCCATTACTTATACAGCATGTCTACGGGACGACGACACTGCGATCACCTATGATGGCACAGTGCTCGTTAACTTGGCTACAAAATATTTGAGCATGTTAGCGATATTATCTCTGTAGAACAGCTCGATAGCTGACTGTATTCTGACTGGCTGCTGATCCAGTCCAAAGGTAACATGTTTAGCTTTCTCCAACCAAGTGCTCGGAGACCTGTCCACGTAAAATTCGAGGTATCTCTCGCCTGTGAACACATACACCAGCGAAACGAAGAGAACCTCAGTCGTTATTATCAGCGTGACGAGGTTCAGCGAAAGGAGAACCAGAAACCGCACCGTGGTCCACAGTGGTCCCGAGCTGTACGCGTGACACGGTGACGCGCCTTTACACTCGGACTGAGAGTCCGCCTCGCTGTCGTCGCGACCGTCGTCTGCGTGTCCATCATAGTGTGCGCCGTCACGTCCGCGCTCGTCGGCGGCGGCGCCGTCCAGACTGCCGGCCACGCTGTGTATGGACACGACCGGCGAGTCGCGACCGCCGGGGGCCGCGGCTGCCTCGAGACTCAAGAGGAACTGCGTAATTAGTTGACAGTTTTGAGTAGCGCTATAGAGAGAATTAACGAGTTGCGTATAACTAAGATTATTGTCTTGGTCTTTGAGATGCAAGCACAGATCAGTGATGTGAGAGCAGTTTTGTGTGGTAGCGAGGAGAGCGTCGAGAGCCTTGTGTACCGCGAAGTGATAGGACGTAACGTTCCGCCGGCGCGACTCTGTTGGCCACATGTAAGAAAGCTGCGTACCGGCGCCTGTGACTTTGCCGTCGATAGGATTCAGCGCCTGGAAGATCTGATCGTAGCGTGGCTTCTCCTTGCTGCAGATCCACTCGGGGTCGCCGTGGCCCGCGTCCACACCCTCCCCTCGTCCATAGCCAAATGGCGACACTTGGTCTTCAACGCCTTCGAACGCACCACCTGGAAACGTAATACGGTAAACATTACTATAATATGCCAAATATTTTAATATTAAATTCAAATTCATTTAATTAATTGTGAACATAGGTAACATTATGGTCTTAAATAACATTTTTAAACGCTATGTTAGTTTTCAACATTAAAATTAGAATTTATTTTTTTAAACGTTGCCCCACACTAGGATTTTCTCCTGTGTCGTGGGTGCGTTTACAAACATACAAATTCACATACACATTAGTTGGAAACAAAGATTTGGATTGATTATTATTACTGAATGTCAATAGAATTATCAATTATTAGGTCACATAGGATTATAAATTTAAATGTCACAATATTAAACAAACAGAATGTCAATAGTTAAATAAAAACATGATAAAAATTATGAAATAAATAAATTCAAATTATAATATTAATCGACTAACAGTCATTTAAAAAAATGTTTTGGTATTTAGTGTCATCAATATCGAAAAATATTGTAAGAGAAATAAGAACATATAATTGTTATGTATAGTATGTATATTGTACATACGTACAGGTGACGATAATAGTTCAATTCGGGACAGTGAACAATACTTTCGCTGTAACACGGAACCAGCGGTCGGACGGTGGGTGTATTGGTGTCTGTTTTATGTTTTATCAGTAAGGGTGTGCTTTACAATATAATGTTAAATTTAGATCTAACTAAATGTAAGATCAATATTTTGTATACAGATCGCAACACTTATTTCTGTTATGAAGTGACAGTAGTGTCCGGAACACTTCAAGGAGGAACGCGCAAGGTTCCGGAACGTCCGATACCCTGGAAATGTTGAACCTGTTTTCAGTATATTATAATAACGCCATCAATCGAAAATAAAAAATACGGTGAGAGATCAGGACTATAGCTGCCGCCGGATCAGTAACTTAGATCTGCTACTATAAAACATTCGTTCTTTGACGTTAAGCACAGAACTTATGTACAGACAGCACAACTATTTACTAAATAGGTTAATAAATAAAGATTGATTCAGTACATAGAAATTGATAAACAATTGGTTGGCTACTGAACCGAATAACGGTTACGATTAAGATGTGGCTTGGTTAAAAACTATAATATAGTTTAGTGTAGTCCTTATTTCATTACCTGCATATTAAAGAACAGTACGTCTGGTCAGTGTAATGGTTACAAGTAGTGACGTGTGGAGGAGCCGCGATATTCTATTATTGAAACTAGTTGTGAAGATGTATCGTGTAACTAAATCACACTTGTGAGGGACGTTAATAGTATTGTCAGCGCGCATATCATCTGCATACCAAATGTATTTCATTACGTTCGTACGGCATATACACAACATGTGTATGTTGTGCCATCTCAACGGCAGCAAAAGTGCGACAAGTATTTTGTGGGTGGGAATAATATTACAGTTGTATTTCACACAAGCTAAGCGACAAATACATACTACTTCGTTGAACTGACCACGACCACTATATTTTAAACGGCGGTTCTACTGATTATTTAAATAACGAGTGGGCGCAAGGTTCATGAACGAGCGGAGGAAAGTGTAATTAATTATATTACACATGCATAAGTTAGCATGTACTCATAAAAGGGCATAATTGAGAACAAAATTGACAAGAAATGATTTTTACTTCCATTGAAATAGAGATGCCTGTCCACCCCTTTGGGAAACAAAACGTGTGAAGTAATGTCAGTGCAGATCAGCTGACCAACTGTAAATTAAAGACGAGGACGAGGACAGGCCTATTGAATACTATTGATTTAGTGTCTGAGCGCTCGACAGAGCGTGCCGGTGGCCGCGAGTTTTTCTTCGGCAAAGAAATCCAGTAAGCTCGGCTCCTCACTACTCTAATACAATACATTGTCAACATCAAATTGATCAATGCTTACTAGGTCAGTCCTTTGTTAGTCAGATTAGGTAACAATGTAATAATATTGTTTGCGATTAAGATCTCGCAAAGCGAAACGGTACATTTTGTTGCTCCGAATAGCAGTTTTGTTCATCCACAGCTACGAAATATTACAAGCAGACTGCCCTCGTCTGTCTGTATGCCAACCGTGGCGCTAGCGAACAAAGTCGAGGCTTTTACAATTACACTGTTTTATATATTTAGTTATTAATCGTCCAAAACATTATAGTTTACTTTTCCTAAGGAAATGTATGGCTAATATTTATTAAACAATTACGTTACTTCAAGTTCAAACAACGTTTAGATGTTTGTTTCCGAATTATGCAAAAATAGTTACATACATACAAATAGAGCGTAACATGGTACATGGTATACCTAAGGCGGATTTTATCTGGATACATTGTCCCATATAAAAGTAAAGAGAAAATCCTTCATCCAGTGCTGGGGATGTGCGGCAAGCGTGGCAACCTGTCGCTTTTCACCCGCACCAGCCGCAATGGCGGAATAGAGATTTTTTTCAAAACTTGCGATATCGCAGTTTTCTGCGGTCCCGCAGCCGCAACCTTAGCGGTTGAATCTCATTGCGATCGCATAGCGCGCGGGTGCTACACGCCGCACCGTGAACCTACAACGCACCGTGGAATGTGTTTTGATTTTTTACATGAGTATATATTTTCTACAAAGGCTGCGGGCCCGCAACCGCGGCGGGCGCGGGACATAATCGCGCGGTGAGTCCTTAGCTTTACGGACTAAATACCACCCGCGCAGATATATTGCTCAGCAGTCACTGCACCTATCGTCAATCGTGCAATCAGCTAATCACTAGTAGCCTTATACAAGGTATGTGTTCTCAAGGCGAATTAAACATAATATAATATGTAGGGAGTGTGACGTCATAATCGACATGTTCAGTGATGGGAAGTCGCCGGACGAAGAATCAGCAGTTAATGATGCAATAATCTAGATCGAGCACATGTAAGTGAAAGTGTAGGCCGCGCGGTGCTCGCCTGTGTTGACGTGCCGTCAATGGTTGGGAATTGCCTACAGTGACTACTGCTATACAATTATACGCAGGCTGTCTCGTTGTCCCTCAGTCACTGTAGTTATATTGCTCGCAACGTTAGAAAATTTATCAAAATGTGTGCTCTGTTAAGACTTACGGCTACAACTTATAGAATACATTCGGATTCGGATGATCTTACATGTAAAGCGTCAATATTCATGGCAATAAATAATATACATATGATAAAAACGATTCTTTTATAAAAACCCTCTTATTGAAGGTAATAAAAATACTCGACGTTAAGACGAGTCAGTTGTCTCACGCATATAATACGTGTAGGTATACCTAGATATGGTTTTACATGAACAAGATAACGTTAGCGATGACATCGTCAAAGTAAACTAAGTTATCACGAATTAACACTTTGTATTTGGAGCTATTGAACAAACAACTGCTTTAGTAGTGTCCAACAACGGAGTAATGGAGGCTAACACTAGAAGCAAACCTTGACTTTATCAGGAGAGTAAGAAAACAATGACGACTTACGTATAAATATACATAAGATAATTTAGTTTACGTCGGCTCATGATCCCGAGGATACGATTTAGAAAAGTAAGTCAAGTACCTTGACCTTAACTTCTCACTAGTGTACCGATCGATGGCTGGGTGATACTGAGAGAACACTGCACACCTTGAACAGCGCGAACCTTCAACCTTCTTACAAAAAAGGTTGGCAGCTGGCCATGCTTTTTGTTCGGTTGCTAGGTGTAATATTTGCCGTTGATAAAAGTAATTCGATGTCATCATGGTGGCTCGAAGGTTTAAGACGCCATGAGGGTGCGGGTCCGAAACCTACCAACAGCAAGTACCAATGTGACTTTTTCCGAGTTATATGTACTTTCTAAAATTATTTAGATATCATTGACAAACGGTGAAGGAAAACATCGTGAGGAAACCTGGGCTTATCCTTACTAATATTATAAATCAGAAAGTGAGTTTGTTTGTTTGTTCCGCTTTCACGTCGTAACTACTAATCCGATTGCTTTGAATTTTTGCAGACGTAAAGATAGAAGTCCGTATTAAATAATAGGGTACTTTTTATCCCAGATAAATTTGATGTTCCCGAGGGAAAACAAAAGTATTGGTATATATGGCGCTGTATGTATTGGTATATGTCACATAGGCTACTTTTTATCCTTTTGTGACGCGAGCGAAGCCGCGGGTAAAAGCTAATAATTAATGAGTTTGAAATCACTAACCCGCATTGAGTAAGCGTGGTGGTTAAAGCTCAAACTTTCTTCGTGTGAGAAGAGGCCTTTGGTCAGCAGTGGCCACTTATGGGCTGTTGGTGTACACAAAGCACCGCTAATTAGTTGCAGCGCAACACATCGACACTGCTGTCATCTACACAGTGTACATGTGTGGGTAATTTCATATTACTGTGTATAAAAATATTCGTCCACCACGTTCACATTGGTATTTTCATTCTTGTGTCGGTATACGTATTTTTATAATTTAATGCATAGGTAAGGTTAAAACTATTTACAATCATTGATATGACCCGACATTTTCACTGTCATTATCGTAGTGCTCGTGGTCGATTGGTTAATGCGTACGCTTTTGTCGCCTTTCAAGGATCAATGATGTAGGTTCTATTCCAGCTAAAAGTTTATTTTATTTTACCTTGTTATTTTTCTTCTAATTATTTTTTTTTTGTTTTTTGTCATAAAATATAAATATCAGGCTATAAAAGAAGCAAATGAGTTGGTAAATAAAACAATACTATTTTTTATTACAATTAATTTATTTATTATACAAATATGTTGTTTTATATTTTATCTAATAATTAATTATATACCACATGTTAAGTTTAAAGTTCTTTAAATCATAATTAATAGATATGACAATAAACCTCATAGTCGAATCGGGAAATATCATGCGGTACAGCGGTAATACGATGGCAGCAACATTTTTTATTAAGTAATAAACAAATACAACATTCTTGTTTTGTAATTTAATAATACATAAGTAATAAACAAGTAAAACATGTAAAAAATTACACTGTCAACATAAT